ATACTGGTGTTTGAGTCATCTCTCTGTCTTTCTTCCATGCTCTTATTTTCTAACATTTTATATAAAACTTTCTAGATGACCTCATGGTTAAACAACTGCTGTCTTAGGAGATTCTAATTACAGTTGGTACCCTATATGTGTCTGTGACTGGATTATTTGGGGTCACTGACACTGTTCTCCCCACCCCCCAAAATGATGAAAAAATCTAAGGTTTTACTTCAAGTGCAACAACTAAACTAATATGTATATACAACCTCTACAGAGCTGTGATGCTGTTGCTGGTTTCTATAAATTAAATATATTTATGTTTTTCAAGTATATCAAGCCTTCTAAAACACAACATTTAGATAAGCACGGTAACAAAAGGTTAGTGGTACTGATATACTATTCTGTTAGTTGCTAAATTGTCCATCAAAATTTTAACCATGACTCTTAAAAAAATTTTTTATCATTACAGTTCTGATCCTTCTGGGACATTTACAACCAAGTCCATAAAAAAATGACTCTAATAATTACTGACGAGTCAACCAGGTTAGCTTTTTAGACATCTGCTTTTGTTAGATTTTGTTTTGTATTGTCCTTGTCTAGAAGCCCACTGCCTAAAAGCCAACTCCTTCCATGCCTCATTGTTGCTTAAATTTGGCCAAAAGGGTCTAGTTGACACTGACTCCTACCTGATCTATTCGTTAGCCCCCCAACATGGGACCACGACCAACCAAACAATCAAAATCCAGGAAAGAACAAATCCTGATGATGAAAAAAAAAAATGACCAATTAAGAAAGATGTTCAGTCTACAGTCATACCACTCTGAATGCACCCAATCTCATCTGATCTTGGAAGCTAAACAGGGTCAGACCTGGTCAGTACTTGAATGGAAGACAGATCTTCAGAAGGGACTGCTCAGAGACAGTTTGGAGACAATGAGGGAATGCCATCAAAGTTCAAATGGAGTCACTTGTGCCAGACCTCTCAAAGATAACCAAAGCCAAGAGGATTGAGGAAATTGTTCTTATACATGTGTGGCTATCTGGCATTAAGGTCCTTCCAGACACAAACTCATATTTTTAGACAGGGTCTTCTACTTAGAGACAAAATAAGTATTTTTACTGACTCTAAACATGACCTTTGATACTTAAAGATGGTGGTTTTAACTTTTTTAAAAACAACAAGTTTTTTTGGACATACACACTGGTAGTATATTGTTGCCATGGTAATTCTACTCAATTAAAAGAAGACATTGTCTGGGTTAAAAAAAAAAAAAAGTCCACCCATTAAAACCCCATTGGAGGGGCCCTTTTGTTATCTTGTCTACTACTCCCACCGCAGTTAAATTAGCAGTGATTGCTCCTTGGATCCACCATAGTCAAGTCCAGCTTCTATTGAGTGGGAGTGCATCCCTGATCCAGCTCCACCATGTAGGATCACCTTCTGCAGCCTGAGCGCCCTCCCTCAGCAGGACTCCACTTCCCAGGAAACCAAGAACGAAGGGACAACAGCCCTGCACTAGTCACCCTGGAAGCTGACTAAGTCTACGCACAGCAGAAGCTTGAGGAGTCAACTCTCCAACAGGACAAACAGGTTGATTTTCACACCAGTTATCTCACTGTACTGCATTGTCACCCCTTGTATGTATCTGTTGCTATAGTTCTCACCCTAGTCTTCTCCACAGGCTTGGCAGAAACCTATGACTGATTGGTCTCATGGTGAAAGGTTTTTATTTGCTCTCTTCTATCTCTTTTGAGCAGGATATATAATTACTATTTATTGTTACTGATCTGGTTTAACAAAGGACAAAATATGCAGCCCTCCTTCATAAGGGAAAGCTGCCCCTACCATACCTGTGGCACCTGTAACCCTGAAAATTTCACTGTACTTAAGCCATCTGATTAAACAGGGAGAAAAGTAATTAGTATAAAAATAGATTAAAAAGGGTCTTAACCTGAGAGTCTGATACACCTCAAATTGGTAACTGTTATCCATGAGAGTTCTTCATACCAAGTTTTTCACTCTTTTTATAAGGAGATGAAAAGTGAATTTTCCATCTCTCAAAGCTAAAAACTTGTTCCTCTCTCTGGCTGAGTCTGTAGACACTAAATGTCACTTTATGCTATGGGAGACCATTGGGAAAAAGATGAGAAATGACCTTACGTGTAATGATGTTATGAAAATACAAACCCCTAAATTAAGATGATGCTCTTTGACCCTAAGTGGGTCCAAGCATCAAAGGGGGGAATAATGTAGCAGAGAGGAGGAGCAAAAGAAAACAGACTAGGCCTGAGTCCTGAGAAAGTAGCAGGGAGGTAGGGATGGCATAGCAGAGAGATAAAACCTGAGAAATCCGAACATGAGGAAGATCACGTAGCACCAGGGAGGGGAAAGTCTTATAGTACTAGGATAAAGTAGCCAATAAAATTACATATAACCATATATGGATTAGACCTTGCTTTTTGCTTCTGTAACCTGCTTGCAAGGGTATATAAGGAGAGACCCCTTTGTTCTCAGGGCTCAACCTTTGGACATGAATCCGTTGAGTCTGTGCTGGCACAGTAAAACGTTGCTTCCTGCTAATTGCTTCAAGAGTCCCATATCTCAGCTAGCAAACTCCTACAATTTCTCATGTAATAGAGACCCAAGGAAACAAAATCTAGTGTTCCTAGTATAGAGTTTCATGGTGTCAGCTGAGGTGGAGTGTGCCAGTAATTCCAGCAGGTCAGAGGTGTACTAGGAAGATCTGGGTCAGAGGCTAGCCTGCCTCCCAACCCCCTCTGTCCAAACTGGTGAGAACCTATAGGGAAAAATAAAGCAAAAAAAAGGGACAAGGGGGGGGGGCTGGGGTATGCCTACCTAACACAAGACCCTGAGTTCAGCTGCCAAAAAGAAAGAAACCTAGGTTGCTTCTCTCGTTCCACCTTCAACAGCATATACCTTGTACCTCATACCCATAGACTGCAGCCATTACAGCCACATTCCAGCAAGCAGAAATGAGGGAAAAACAAAGGGGATAGTCCCTTCCTCCTCTACCTCTTTACATCACACTTACCGGTCATTAATGTAGACATTTCTCATCGGCCAGGACTTGTCACATGGACACATAAAGATGTGTGTTCTGTTACTAATTTTTAAAAAGGTGAGGAGGGATGCCCCACCACTGACAAATGGATTAAGAAAATGTGGTATTTATACATAATGGAATTTTACTCAGCCATGAAGAAGAACGAAATGTTATCATTCGCTGGTAAAGGGATGGAAATGGAGAACATCATTCTGAGTGAGGTTAGCCTGGCCCAAAAGACCAAAAATCTTATGTTCTCCCTCATATGCGGACTTTAGATCAAGGGCAAACACAACAAGGGGATTGGACTTTGAGCACATGATAAAGCGAGAGCACACAAGGGAGGGGTGAGGATAGGTAAGACACCCAAAAAACTAGATAGCATTTGTTGCCCTCAACGCAGAGAAACTAAAGAAGATACTTAAAGCAACTGAGGCCAATAGGAGAAGGGGACCAGGAACTAGAGAAAAGGTTAGTTCAAGAAGCATTAACTTAGACAGTAACACACATGTACAGGAAATCAATGCGAATCAACTCCCTGTATAGCTATCCTTATCTCAACTAGCAAAAACCCTTGGTCCTTCCTATTATTGCTTATACTCTCTCTTCAACCAAAATTAGAAATAAGGGCAAAATAGTTTCTGCCGTGTAGCGAGGGGTAAGAGGGGGTGGGGGGGGCAAGGGGGGCCCTTATTCATATGTATGCACATATGAATAAAATAAAAATTTTAAAAAAAAGAAAAAGAATAAAAAGGTGAGGGGGAAGAATGGATGTTGAGAAACAGCTAGCAGTATATGCTATCTACCTCCAGCATGTTCTATTCTCTATAGCCTACTGTATTGTTCTTCAAACTGTTTAATTATCCCTGGTATATTTTCTTTACGTTTCCCCAACCTATATGTTCCAAGAGAACTAGAACCTTGTCTTTTGTTCTCTGAGTTCCACAAACCTAGAAACAGGCCTAGAGCATAGAAGGAATTAAGTAACTATTGGTTGAATGAGTTGTTAATTTAAAATAAATTTGATCATTCAGATCTAGTCATCACAAAAATAATGCTTTATTTAGTCTTGCTTGGTTAGAAATGCCTGCTTCTTTTCTGGAAAAGTTGAGGCACCAAAAACTCCTGAATTATTAATTTTAAAAAGGCTCCTTTCCACTAACAAGATGACTCAAACCCTTTTCCAAAAAGTACAACCAATACAACCAAATAGCTCTGTAATCATTCCCTAGTCCTAATGATGTAAATAATATTACTGCAACATTTAAAACACTGTAACTGTTGGCAATAATAATGTAAACATTAATATAATGTAGCTTAATGTAAATGAGTAATTAACTGCTTTTTAACATAAACATTAATAGTCGTGAGATTAGAAAAATCAGTCTTAAAAAGTTAAATGAAGTTATTCTGGGGAGGAACACTCAGGGAGGACCACACCACTGGTCTGCCGTTTTACTTTTCAGTCTCAGAGAACTACTTGGTTTCAACCTATGCATGTTTAAATTTGAATTTCTCATGGCAGGACCAGGTCACCCATGCCTCTGGGCTCCAGGGAAGGTTAACCCAAATCTAGGAGTCAAGGTCTTGCTGGGAGACGCAGATGAAGGCGAAGGCTCCCTGGTCGACTCCAAGGCCACCACACGGGGTCACCTCCCCCAGGCCCCCAGGATCTTAATGCACAACGCTGCTCCCGAGGTTTCACGTCGTCCTCCCGTGTTCAAGCCCCGGGCAACTGCGCACTGGGGCGGGTGACAAGCGGCCCTGAAGGTGGAGAAGAGCGACCTCAGCCTTCAGCTAATTGTAACGTCACCTCGGACGTTTGCGGGAACAAAGAGGGTCAGAGGTCAGCGCTGACCACACATTGCCGCAAACCGGGCCAGCGGGTCCCGGGGCGGAGCTGACCCGCCGAGCTCCACCCACGCCTGTCCGCCAATCGTCCACGCGCTGTGCTTCCAGTCCGGAAGCCGTCGGAGTGTGACCCTCGCAGAGGACCCGCCCGACTGCCTTCCTGGGCGCCGCCGCAAGCCGCGCCATGCTTGCCCTCCGAAGCCGCCTGACCAGAGCGCTGACCGCGCGGAGGCTCGCGCCTCAGGTACGGACGCGGGGCGCGAGCCGTGCGCAGAGGGTGGGGGCGGGGTCCTGGAGCGCGAGCGCCGCGCATGCGCTCTCTCCCCTCCGGCTGCGCCGACCGCCCTTCTCCTGCGGCCGGGAGCTCTGGTCTGCGGCCCGGGTGTGTGTGCAGAGCAGGGCCGCGGGCGCAGTCGGCCCCCCATCCGCCCCGAGGCCCCCCGATTTTCTCGCCTGTCTGCGAGGTGAACCCCCAAGTCGCCGTTTTTGCCGGCAGCACGGTCCCTGCCCCCCTCCCTCGCGTCCCTTTCACAGCTATGCTCTCCTGGGAAAGGTTACAAGTGTCTGAGCATTTGTCATCCTCCAAATACAAAGTGCTTGAATCAACCTAATCGCGTTTGTTCTAAATGCCCCTTTGGTTCATTTTTTATATATTTCATTTATAATTTTTTGGAGCTGTAGTTATTAGGCAGTTTTTTTTTTTTTCCGAATAACCTGTTAGACTGGTTAATAAACACAAAAACAATGTCTAACAGGGGCAGCTGAATTTGAGTTTGATGGCGGGCTTAGTCATTTAGGGCAATAAGACTATACCCATAATAGACATGAATGGGATGAACTCAATTTAGTTGGTTTTACTAACCTTACTATACACAATTAGGTTAAATTCTACACTGTTGGATTTTATAAACAAAAATATAGTAAAAGCCCATTGTGTTCATTACACATGTGAGGTAGTCAAGGTAAGCCCTAATTTGCCCATAGCATTGTAAATACCAAAACTGCTTTGGAAATGAGTACATGCTAATCAAACCTAGGCAAGATGGATCAGTAAATTAGAGTGCCATGTGCCTGTGTGTGAGTGTGTCTGTACCTACATACACAGAGGTTATGGAAGGCAAATCCTAGTGAATGTTAAATAACAACATACAACTAAATGAACTAATGGTTCTTAAAGAATATTTCATCAACCAAGTGTAACTGGAGGCATTAGATGGTCTTCACATTACTCTCAGTCTTATTAGATGGTCTTCACTTTACTCTCAGTCTTTAGGAACTAATGATTCACATAATTCTGACATCTTGAATTTTTCTTTTTCGGCTTTCATGCAGCCTACCACTGTATAACAATGCAGTTGAATAGCACATGGCATTCTATTGCATTAGTTATGTTCCCTTATTTACCCAGTGAGATTTCCTATATTCACTCAGTATAGGAAATTCTTTGACCTAAATAGCAATTTCCAATTTTTTTTTAAAGAATGGAAGACAGTCTTCTGCCAGTAAACATATTTTCATTATGCCTGACTAAGACATGTGTACAGAATTTGTAAATTTCTTTTAGATGCATAACTCTAGCACATGTACTATTGAGGCAAAATTTTGACTACATAAGGGAAAAATCTAACCTATAAAAATCTTTATTGTAGTTCACAGATTAAGGAATATCATTAAAAATGTGGCAACTCCTTATGAAAAGGTGACTGTGTGAACTCCTGCTATGTATTCAGCATGCTGAACAGTAGTTATCTTTATTGACATCTCTGCATAAATAGAAGGCTAAAGAGAGTTGACAGGAGAAGAACAAACATGAATCATGAGTCTCCTGCTTATTTGCCCCTTGTTTCCAGACTCAGAATTGGTTGTAACATAACATAAAGCCTACCTTCTCTAAAATATTTAAATTTGCCTTATCTCTCTTCAGGTGTGCTCATCTTTTGCTACAGGCCCCAGACAAAATGATGGAACATTCTATGAGCTTCATACCTATTATCTTAAACCCTCAAAAATGAATGAGTTCCTGGAAAATGTTAAGAAAAAGATTCATCTTCGGACAGCTCACTCTGAATTGGTTGGATTTTGGAGTGTAGAATTTGGAGGCAGAATGAACACAGTATTTCATATTTGGAAATATGGTATGAGTCAATACAGCTTAAGTGGTCAGTTTAGATTTTCATTCTGTTAGATGTTATGGGAGACTTAGTTCTTGGATTTATATTTAGATACACACAGACACATAGGTTAAGTAAAACTATCAAAAAGAATACAGAACAAAAAAATAAATTTAGTGATTACTCCATCTATAACAAACCCTTGCTCAAACTCATATGTTTTCTGGAATGGGAACATGTCATCTAATATATTAAACTCTAAAATGGTGAACTAAACTTTATTTTTCAGAAAAAATTTAGAATGGTGTATTGGAAAGATGGTTTATGCAAAATTTAAAGCAGTGCTTACAAAAACCAGGTGGATTAAGATCACCAAAAGAGAAAGTACCTTTTCTTACTAACAATGTGAGGGCTGAATATTACCATTTCACTAGACATAATTCACATATTTAAGGACTTTTAGTAAACGGAGGTTCAAAGAGGTTAATGGTTAACTTTTAAGCCTCTTTCAATTCTGAGATTTCATAATTCTGTTATGTTTAGAGACCAATTATTTTTTTCATTTATGCACACCAGAGAGTCAAAAGGATTCACTGTCATACTACTCTCTGAAGTTAATGAAAAAGACTAAGAGAGAGTTCTTCTCATTTTACACTCTTGAAAAAAGAGAATGAGTTATAAAAATCCAACAGTCCACATGAAGATATCCAAAGAACTCAGTAATTTCATGTAGGATTTGGTCATCAGTGACCAAAATCAATGTTCATAAAATAGTTTAATATGAAAAATATTTTTCCATACCTAACATCTCAGGATTTAGGATTTTTCCGTGTAGTAGAACAAGCCCCACTAAAACACAACTCATGCTTCAGATAAGGTACAAGTTAAATAATAGCCCATTAAGAAAGCTAGTAAAATCCTGATAAACCTTACTTAAGCAGTAAGACAGCTGTTATTCCTTATCCTCAGCAGAATCTATATAAAATTCTAACCATTAGTGTCATGAGACCCTAGTAGTACATATAGCAGTAGGCCCATATGTTGGTAAATGTGTATACCTGTTGGGGTAACTTAGAAAGCAGAGAAGTAAGTGCTGGAGGCGAAAAAAAAGATGTGACAATAAGTAAGAGACTCAGTCCTATTTCTCTGAAAGCTGTTTGTTTTAAAGGAGAAGAGACTTTCGCAGTACATTTCAGTTTACTTATGCCAAAATTTTTTCAGTGTGCACGTTGACAGCCCACCACCACTAAAGAGTAGTCTTTCTCTAAATGGCACTGTCACTCACATGCCTCGGTTGAAGAACAGTCCTCATATATTGAGTACTAACTAGGTGCTAAAGACTGTTCTAAGTCTTTTTCATAAATTAATTCATTTGATCTTCGCAACACCCCTGGATGTGGATGCTGTATTATTATCTCCATTTCACAGACTAAGAAATAGAGCAAAAAAAGCTACAAAAACTTACCTTTCTCACATAGCTACCTAGGAAGTGGTGGAACCTGTGAACCCCATTCTGTGTCATTACAATAGTTGTTTGCATTTCTGTTCCCCTGAGACCATGAGCACCTTGAGGCAAATGTCACATCTCTTCCTGTTGGAATCTACAAGTGCATAGCACAGTGTTCCCAAATGCTCTAGGTGAACGCTAATTGATATGAATGAAACCCAGAGAAGTACAAGTGATTTTATGTTTTAAAGTTTTACTTTTCGTAATTCTTTTTCCCGATAGATAATTTTGCTCACCGAGCTACAGTTCAGAAGGCCTTGGCCAAAGATAAGGAATGGCAAGAACAGTTCCTCATTCCAAATTTGGCTCTCATCGATAGGCAAGAGTTTGAGATTGCTTACCTGGTACCATGGTGCAAAATAGAGAAGCCTCCAAAAGAAGGTAAGTCGTCTTCTTAGCCACTTTGAATTTTGATGAATAAATGCTGAAGATCTTAAATTATAAAAACCAAAGTACCACTGGGGAATAAAAACAAATCCTTTGTTTTATATAGGAACATTCTGTGATTGTTGAGATAAAAACTAAATTGAAACCTTCAGCTTATCTTTCAAAAATGAGACTCAATTTATGGAAGAATTTTTCCAAGTTGAGATTTTATAAATGGCAAAGCTTAGCCATTTATACTATACATAATACTAAAATAATAAACATTAAAATATAAATATGCTCTACACACTATCTTAAATTACTAAGTTCATCTTTGCTTATAAAATTGGAGGGAATGAACTAATTGAAACTCTTAAGCTATATTATGGTGATCTAACTTTTGTGTCTTCCTCTTTCTTTTTTCTCAGTTTGAAAATAAATATTGCTGATTTTACTTCTTGCTGATTTAAAGAAACTGTTGTCTCAGTCCAGTTTTAATCAAAGGTCAGATTAGAAAAGCATAAAGTACCTTAAATTTTATTTTATTACCCCTGCTATCCTAGTTGTAGTGTATTTTGGATTATAAGAAATTTGAAAATGCTATTTGGGTTTCTTGTCCATTTGTCTAAAAATAGTCAGCTTCTCTAACATTGTTAATCTTGATTCTTATTGTCTATATTTATATTCTTTAGTAACCTTGTAAGAGTGCAATTCTGCAGGAAGAAATTTTACAAAGAATAAAATATCTCCTCTCAAAATTGAAAAGGAGGGGAATGTAGGAGGTCAGAAGGCACTTCTCTTATTAATTTCTAGTAGGCTTCAGCCACTCAAAACTATTTTATATATAAAAAAAATTCAAGGTGACAACAGCAGAACATTTAGCCAACTGTGGGGTGTTTCTGAAAGCAGGGCTCTGTGTGGGTAACTGCATAGGTCACACATCCGTGAATCTATTCCTGAATTTAACTGAACTTAACGTGAGGTAAAGCCCCATATTTTTAGATTATAGAAGTCCCATTTTTACTGACAGAAGTAGTGTTCTGTTTTCCATAATCCCCTATTAAAAATGCAACCCGTGTTCAGATTTGTACTTTAATGTTCTGATCAGGAACGCCTAATCTCTTCATTGTCTAACTCAGTGCTTTTCAAACTATCTTAATGCAGAGAGGGTTTTTTCCCTCCCAACCCATCACTAACTGGTATTTTTTTTTTTTGTAAAACATAAAACCCCACATTTAGCTATCTTCCTCATGCTAACTTGCTATAGAAGTATATAAATGCTACTCTGTCTTTCTGAACTTATCTCAATGGGACATAGGAATAAATAGTTTTCAGAGCATACTTTAGTACTGATCAAGGAACAGCCCATAACTGCATTTTAATTGTGAAGGTAATTTTTTAAAATATTATTACCCAATAAAGAACTGATTATAAATATTATCTCAGAGTTTAATTCATTTATGAGTAATGGAGTAACATATATAACTGTCATGGCTCTTTTTGCATTTTAATCATACCAAGTAGTATTAAAAGATTTTTTAATAAATTGATTCTTGATAAGAATAAAAAATCCTATTTTATCATAAATTCTCCATTATCTGTTACATCAACAAAGTTCATAGATTAAAAATACTTAATATAATAGTTTATATATAGCTTCTATTCCATTTTCCTTTTCTTCTTTTATTAAGCTTAGCAAGTACTTAAACATGGACAAGGTCTTTAGGATAAATGAAATTTATATTTTTTTACTGAATGATGTATATTTACTTGCATTTGTTTTAGTATTTTGATTGTCGTACTAAGGGTACAATGTGACATTTACAAAAGTTCTTATAATATATCATAGTTGAATTCACTCCCCCCCATTGTTCTCCTTTATTCTCCCTCCCCCCATTCTTAGAATAGTTTCAACAGGTCTCATTTTTCCATTTACCTACATGTGTACATAATATTTCTACCCTGTTTATCCTTCTATACCCTTTCCTTAGAGCCTTCCCCTCCCACTGGTGCCAACACCCCAGACAGGACCTGTTTTGCCTTCTCCATTTTTGTAAAAAAAAAAAAAAAAAAAAAAAAAGCTATTTTTGTTTAAGATAGCTATAGAGGGAGTTTCATTGTGACATTTCCATGTATATATGTATTATAACCCAAATTGGTTTATCCCCTCTATTTCTCCTTTCTACCTTAGTCCCCTTCTTATGGTGATTTCAGTAAGTTTAAAAATTCTGTATTCATTCTTGTATAGGAAATACATCAACCATATTCACCTTCTTAACTTCCTTCTATTACCCTCCCTCTCTTGTATATGACCTCCCCTTAGTGTGACCTGTTTTTCATAATATGGACAAGGTCTTTCTAAACATAAAAGCAAGTAAGAATAACACAAAGAATAAATAACTGTGACTGCATAAATCGATATATGTGGATGATCCTTCAAATATGTATACATAAGTTAACCTTCCACTCCTAGAGTCAAACACAGCTGATTAAAAATTGCTTGACTCTCCTTTGTAAAATGTTTTTCTCTCTATTCCAGGAGTCTATGAACTGGCTACTTTTCAGATGAAGCCTGGAGGCCCAGCTCTGTGGGGTAATGCATTTAAAAGGGCAGTTAATGCCCATGTTGATCTAGGTTACACTAAAGTAGTCGGCGTTTTCCACACAGAATATGGAGCACTCAACAGAGGTATGTTGTCCATTTCTGTATGTTGATGATCCACATCATTTCTTGAGTCAGTTTTCTTTCTTTTTTCATTATAATATCCTTTCATTCTTATCGCCAAATAAGGTTTTTTGCAGCATTAAGGTTTGAAAAAACTTGTTTACATCTTACTTTTATTATTATGTTAATACCTTGTAGAGTCTATTTCAAATGCAGAACTGCTCTTTAGAAAGTGAGGAATCCCTAAGAAAATATTATTCTTTTCATTTTGGTTTTTCTTCTAAATGCAATTTTCTTGATTTTTTTCCAATCTAAATTGGGTTAGAAAGATTGTTTCTGAATGACAGTATAATATGTATTTTCACAAATGCTAAAAACATGGACAAGCCCCAGAAAAACAAATTACACATTTCCCATTACTGTAGCAGTATGTATAATTCTGTTATACATACATAAATGACACAGGAATAGAAAAACCAAGATATTCATAGATATAAAAAGACTAGAAACAATATATATGCATAACTAGTAATAACTTACAAGCATTCTAGAGCTGGTGGGGTGTTCAAGTAGTAGACTGCCTGCCTAGTAAGTGTGAAGCCCTAAGTTCAAACCCCAATACCACAAAAAAAAAAAAAAATTCGCAGCACTCTGGTATGGATGGCTAATTTGGGACATTTAAATATTAAGTTGAAAGTAATTATAGTAAGAATTTCAAAGGATATTTTTTGTAACAAACTAAAAATGTGAGTAAAGTTCATCTAGAGGATAAATGATTAATACCTAATAAAATATTTAAAAGATTCATTATATCTAATTGTCTCTCTTTCCCTACTTGAATGTTCAGTAGAGATTTCAAGGCTGATACATTCAAAGCCAAATTCCTGATCTTTACCCAGAAATTTAACTTCTAGTCATATATCCAAAGAAAATAATTAGAATATACCCCCCTAAAAATGCATTTTAAAGTTGGGAAATATATGAAAAGTTGCAAAGATTATCAGACGTCCATTTCACACTAAAAGTTAAAATGCATTATAGATTCAGTGTAAAAATGTACAGTTAAAATATCAATGAGCTTATATGATAATATAAATGGTTACTATATTTCTAGGCCAAAAAGTAAATGAAAAACTATTGAGGGGAAAAAAATATCAATTTGATGCTCTTATTATACAAAAGCTCAAATTCTCACATGCTCCAAATCATCATAAACAAAATTCAAAAGAAAAAAGAAAACTTATACAAAGGTAATGTACAGATATCTACAAATATATTTTAAAGAAGATATAGGTTAAAGTAATAATGAAATTTTTTCACTTAGCATAGTCATGTTAGTTAGGTCAGAGAAAAATCAAGTACTCATTCACTGTGTATTGTTCATATTGGCATAATATTTTCTTCTACAAATTTGGCAGTGTAGGCCAGGAATCATGGCTTGAGCTTGTAATCCTAGCTACTTGGGAGGCAGAGATCAGGAGGACCACAGTTCAAGGCTAGCCTGGGCAAAAAGTTCACAAGATCTCACCTCAAACAGTGGCTGGGCACAGTGGTGCACACCTCTCATCCTAGCAAGGTGGGGAAGTGCAAATAGGAAGATCACAGTGCGGGCCAGCCCAAGCATAAAATGATACCCTATTTCAGAAATAACCAACTCAAAAGGGCTGATGGAGTAGCTCATGTGGTAGAGCTCCTGCCCACCAAGCCCAAGGTCTAAATTTCAACCCCTAGTACTGCCAAAAAAAATTTGGCATTATAAATAAAACACTTTAATTTTTGTTACCTTTATCAATATTACTTCTAGGAAGTAAGCATAGATGTGCATGTATACGTTTAGTTAGTTATACAAAAAGAAATTTGAAAGGAGGGTGAAGGTGTGGCTCAAGGTCCTAAGTTTAATCCTCAGTAAAAGAGAAGGATGGAGGGAAGGAGGAACAGAGGGAGGGAGGCAGGAAAGAAGGGAGAAAGGGAGGGAAGGGGAAGGGAAGGGAAGGAAGGAATTTGAAAGGATTTAAAATATTTTAAGCCTCTTAATTTTCTAGATTTGACATACATAAACTTTTTAAGAAAAAAACACTGAAAATGTGTGTGCACAAACTTTTTAAACCTAAATTCATTTCCAGCATAGTAGGAGAATAATATGCAGAGTATAAATTGGTATTACCATTTTGGAAGATAGTAGTTAATAATATGCAATATATCTATTTTAAGAATATCTATCCTCTTTAGTTCTTTCTCTCCATTTAAATTTTAGGAGTTTATATTAAGGACATAATCAGCTCTAGATTGCCTGTGTCATAAACCCAGCTCCATTAGTTAATAACTTTTGGTTACTTAGCCTTGCTGTGCCTTAGTAACCTCACCCATAAAACAATAGTAATAATAGCCTACTACCCAGATTATTAGGAAGATCAAATGAATTAACACTTGAAAAATGCTTAAGGCTGTGCACCGCTGGCTCACGCATGTAATCCTAGCTACTCATCAGGTAGAGATCAGGAGGATCAAGGCTCAAAGCCAGTCCTGGGAAAATACTTCTTGAGACCCTATCTTAAAAATTACTTAATAAGAAACAGGTTGGTAGAGTGACTCAAGTGGTAGAGTGCCTGCTTAGCAAGCCTGAGGCTGTAAACTCAAACCCCACTACCACCAAAAAAAGAAGGTTAAAATCAGGCCTGTTACATAGTAACTACCCAATAAATGTTAGTAGTGATTGTCATTGACATTGTCATTACTATAGGCATACATGTAGTTGCTGCTGTAATGAGGTTTGTGTCAGCTTTGTTTACAGTAAGGAAACACTGGAAGCAATGTGGTGGGCCCTATTTATGTAATAGATATTCTCACAATCCACAAATAGAAATACATTTACATCCTGTATCTTTTATAAGCATAAGCATATATACTATGTTGGTATAAATATATAAACATAAATAAAAGGACTCACATAGATAGAAATATGGGAATAATACACCAAAAGAGAAACGTCGTTATTTTGGGTGAGGAGAGGATTAGAAATAGTTCCTACTGTCTCCTCATGGTTTCTAAAAATCTATACAGCTAACATAATAAATTTTAATGATTAAAAATTACAAATATATACAAGAACATTTTGGGAATAATTTAAGTAACCCAACAAGAAGAGATTGAGAAAAAAGATGTTTTAAAGATAAGAAGAAATTCATAATAGCAATTAAAATAGTGTTTATCATCACCTAGAACCCCATTAGTATGTACAGTATTAATGTTTTGTGTATTAGTTAAAAATAAATTTAGTTTAAAAATATTGACAGAAAATTATCATATTGTCAATTTTAATTACAGAAATGTATTATATATTATTAGAGATTTCTGGAAAGGTATTGCTAGTTTTATTTTTTACTTTGTGTCTAAAGTTTTCTGCAGTAAACACGATTTTTTTATAATCTACTTTTTTTTTTTTTGGTGGGACTTGGGGTTTTTGAACTCAGGGCTTCATGCTTGCAAAGCATGTACTTTACCACTTGAATCACACATCTAGTCCATTTTGGTCTGGTTGTTTTGGAGATGGGGTCTTGTATTAGCCCAGGCTGGCCTTCTACTGTGATCCTCCCAATCTCAGCCTCTTAAATCTCTAGGATTATAGGTGTGAGTCATCAGTGCCTGGCTTAGTCTTTTTTTAATGAAATAAAGTGTGGTAGGAGGTCATGGGCCTAGTCTTAAATATGCTTTTAGCTATTTTACTGCACTTTCTCTCTTCAGTCCTTTGTTTCCAGTTTGACTGATTAATATATAAATCTTTCTCCCAGATCTTTGGCCCCTTAAAAACTAACATTATAAAAAAAAGAATCTAAATCTAACATATAGTTCATTTCTGCAGTTCATGTTCTTTGGTGGAATGAGAGCGCTGATAGTCGTGCAGCTGGGAGACATCTGTCTCATGAAGATCCCAGAGTGGTGGCTGCTGGTAAGCTATTTCCCTAGGCATGGATTATTTTTAGAGCAAATTTACTTCAGCCAATAACTTTATATTCCTTCTTTTGAAATGTTTTCCAGTTCGGGAAAGTGTCAACTACCTAGAGTCTCAGCAGAATAAGCTTCTGATTCCTGCATCATTTTCGCCATTGAAATAGTTTTCTACTGGCCTATCAAGGATTTTGTTAACTGGTCTAAGATGTGTCTGCTACTGGTACTTAAATTCTCCCAACAGAATTATTCTCTTTTATTTGAAGGAGGTGGTAAGTTAATTCACTTTACCCCATAGGTTCTTTAAATACACCTTTGTCACTTGTCACTACCACTTCAGGAAAGAGTTGTATTCATTTTCCCCGTGGCATTTCAGTATTGTATTATACATTAGAAATGTTTGTCACTACTTTATGATCTTGATAATTCATTTGTTTTAAAAATATCTTTTCTTCTGGTGTATTTTGTATTTTGACAACTCTCTGCATTATACCATTTTCTTATATTCTTCTAATGATTTTGCATTTCCTTGCCTGGCAAGGAAATATATTTCAATCATATATTATTATCAGTATATTTCATCATATTTATTTCTCTGAGATTTAAAAAATATTTTTACCTAGTAATGTTTACTGTGTAATATCAAATGAGAGTTATAAAAAATTTCAGATCAAGAGTATTACTTTACTTTGGAAAAGTACATTATCATGTGTCATCTGTATTCATTATAGTTTTCACATTAATTATTAGGTCAGTCTAATTTGGAAAATAATGTAATTAGGTCACAACGTTAAAAGTCTAGAGAAGATTTATTGGTTTATATGCTGAAATATGTTCATTTGTAATTGATTTTACTAATTTTGACTTCACATTGGGTTTTCACAAAGATCTTGAGACATTTGATTTTAAGAGGTCCTTATAATTATGAAAATGCTTGCCCTAATAAAAGCCTACATATGAATTCTGATATGTGTGTTGTATATATCCTCTTCTCTGGAGTTCTTACTGTATTACTATAGGGTAGTGACACAGTAATACTTTGCCAACCTTAGAGTAAATGTTAAGTTACATAGTGAAAATAGCATGCTGGAAACCACCCTGAAGGAATTTCTGTAGTATTGCCATAGACAGTCTAGGGTTTTCCTTGAAACACTTTAGTTTTCATTTTACCTGACACCTCTGCTTTCTAAAACAAGGTTTAGTTATCCAAAGCTCTCTTGATAGTCTATATTTACTGCTATATTATTTTACATTTCTAAATCATTTGAAGTGTAAAAAAAAATTATGAATTAGCTTTTCAAAGAAAATTTGGAAAATAGAAAGTAAAGTTTCCTTTCATTTATCAGGCTCCATATGCTCTGTGGTATATCTGTACAGTGATGCAATGTAGGATATAAATTCAGGAAAGGCAGGCAGTGTCAGCCTACAGAGACATATGTAGGCTCTCCACACAAAGTTCAAAGACATGTATTCTTCTCCACACAAAGTTCAAAGAATCTTTAGACATCTAACATTTGTATGAAATAGTTTGTGACTTGGTGTATGTTTAACATACATGTAAATTATCAATTAAACTAAATTTTAAAGTTAACTCTAAAATACTACATCAGATAGTTTAACATTTTACTTCAGAATGTTGTAGTATCTTAAGTCTTTGAGCATCAATTATCTTTGACCCATACTATAAGAAATTAAAAGACAAGGGATGGCATTTTGATCTTTTTGAGAGGTACACAAAAGGGATGGAAAGAGATTTTCCTTAGTTTAAATCATATACCATATTCTTCATATTTAGCTCCAGCTGGATTTTGGTTTACTCCAAAATTTAATATGACAGAGATTTGCCTTCCAAGAGGTCTAATTTGAAGATGAAAGTAATTTATATATACAGGTTCACATCATGATGTTCTATTTGTTGGAAATGCACTTAATCTTCCATTCCCAACACCTGCTCCCCTGTCTTCATTCTCAGCTAATGAACTTTCCTCTACTATGCTGAAAAGATAAATAATCAGAAGAGACTTTGTACAGATTCCTGTCTCCATATCACTTTTCTGTAGCCCAGTTTACATACCCTACCTTTTCCCCTCCTACTCTGCTTTAGCAGACAAACTCCTCTATTTACACAATTACTTGCTGAAGGATGAAGCTACAGCAGTTCTGTCTCCCAAAGCCACAGTTTCCCTCTCATCTTGATCCTTTCCTCAGCATAAAATATGCTAGTATTTTCCCATCTTTTAAATAATAAAAACTTCCTACCACATTTCAGCTTTATAAAATGACCCAACAGAGGTGTCCATACTTCCTCTTCCTTTCCTTCCTACCACTATTGAGTTCCCTCACTTTCCTTCTTAACATCTTATCACTAGCCACGTCACTCTTACCAAACTCATTACCCAGACCTCATTTCACTGAATCTCCTAGCAGTTGACCTCTCATTTGTCCTGGAACTATTTTCTTCATTTCTCTAAACACTAAACCCTCTTTCCTCATTAATGTCTACTAGTCTCCATCTCGCCTCTTTGACTTCCAATGATGTAGTATCCAAAGGATTATTCCTTGGACCTCTTTTCTGTTCTATTTATACTGTGTGCATCATCTCTTGATCTTGTAGCTTCAAATGTCATCTATATACTAACAGATCCTGCAATTGAAACTTCCCTGAAGCCTTACCCAAGTACCAGTCTCAACACCTGCACCTGAATATCTATTAGAAATCTAACACCTCACATGACTAAAACTGAGCTCTTGATCTTTACCCAGAAATTATCTCTCAGTTAATGGCCACTCCATCTGTCCATTTGCTCAGGTGACAAACCCTAGTTATTCTTGGTGCCTTCTTTTCTCTTATACCCCACTATATGTCTGTCAGCAAATCCCAAATATCCAAACTTTGATTGCTTCACATCCCTATAGCAACAGGATTGCCGTTCTGTTTCAAGGCAATCATCTGGATTTTGAGAACAGGCTCTTAACTGATCTGCCCTTGCTCCCTCTGCCCCCATCCCTGTCTGTTTTTAACACAGCAGCTAGAATAATACAAAACATAAGCCAGATAGTATTTCTCCTGTGCTTACTCCTCTCTCTGCAATACCTTCCTGTCTAACTCAGAGTAAATATCCAAAGACCTTCATTGAAATCTGCAAGTCCTTGCATGATCTGTCCTAAATTCAGTCCTATCTCTCAGCTCCACGGCTGGCCTAAGAGGCTTTTCTTTGACCCATTAAACTTCTCTTGCCTCAAGTCTATTCCCCGCTGCCTGGAATGACCATCCCTAGATATGAATGTACATGATCATTCCCATACCTCCTTGAGGTCTTGACCCAAAAGCTCCCTGAGATTTTTCCTGACAACCCTATTTAAAATTACAGCCTCCTCCACAGTGGTCTCTATTTGCTATTGTTGGAATGTTTATGTCTCCCCCAAATTTGTATGTGGAAGCCTTAATGTGGAAGCCTTAATCCCAATACAATGGACTTTGGAGGTGGGGACCTTTGGTTGGTAATTAGGTTTAGTTGAGGGAGTAGAGCCCCACAAGACAATTGGTGCCTTTATAAGGGGATAAAGAGACCTGAACTCTCTTTTTCTCTGTTGCCATGTGAGGAGACCAGAAAGGGGGCCCTCACTAGAACTCAATCATGCTAGTACTCTGATCTCAGACTTCTAGCCTCCAGAGCTATGAGAAATAAATGTTTGCTGTTTAAGCTACTCAGTCCATGGTATTCTTAAACTGACTATACCATCCCTTTAGCTGCGTTGTTTTTGTCATTTATCACTATAATTAATATTTCACTTATATATGCTTTGTTATGCTATGTCTTCTCCCACTGGAAGCTAAATCCCATAAGAGCAGGTTTGTTTTGTTTTTGTTTTTTGTGGTACTGGGGATTGAAGCCAGGGTCTTGGGCATGCTGGACAAACACTAAACCACAGAGTGACATCCCCAGCCCAACAGCAGGGTTTTTTTGTTTTTGTTTTTATAAATCAAGGCCCTGGCATGTGATAAACTCTCACTAACATTTGTTGATTGAATTAACATAGAAGATGTGCTATGGTTTGAGTGTGTCTTCCAAAGCCTCATGTTCTAGAAGCTTGGTCTCCACTGTGGTGGTTTCATGATGCAACTTTAAAATGTGGGACCTAGAAGGAAGGTGGTTAGGTCACTGGGGATGCCACCCTCAAAAGAGATTATTGTAGTTTTCTTGGGACTTTTGTTCATTCCCTTGAGACTGTGTTATTATTAAAAGGGCTAACCTGGTTCCGTTTCTGTGTTGCCATGTAGTCTCTTCTTATACACAATCCTATCATGATGACATCTACCATGAGGTCCTCACCAGAGGGTGAACTAATGAGGCCATGAGATCTTAGATTTTCAGCTTCCAAAACTGAGCCAAATGGACCTTTTCATACATTCCCCTGCATTGAGTATTATAGCAGCAGAAAACAGACTAATTCAAGATGGTTGAGGTATTTTTTAATAGTTCATTATTCCTCCACACCATTAAGATTAGGTGATTATTATTGGAGGCGCTTCACCACTCTGGAAAGTACCCCTGGAAGACACAGTGAATGATTCAGTGAAGTTCCTATTATGGATGCCTTGAATATATAACAAGGATACCACTGCCAGTTGCTATCCCAGACTATTGAGGTATTTGAATTATATTTCCAGAAAAAGAAATAGTCAGTCAGTCTGGTCTGGTTCCGCTCTATGCCATATAACTCCCAAAGGACAAGCAAATGATGCTTGTAGACTCACCCTCTGGACTACATTCTGGGTATCAGCTCTTAACCTACTAAGCAAACCCTAGGCACCTGACTATTGTGGCAACTGCAGCTGTGATATTTCAGTCATCCAAGATTATGAACCTGCAATATGTTGGAAGAAGTGTGAACCTCATAGAGAGACCTGTTTCATAACTTTCCTCACATGGAATGCCCTCCTTATCATCTGGGAAAAAACACATTCTTCCAGGAGAACATGATGTGTTTAATTTCAGCTAGTTGGCTCAAGATCCTGAAGTAAAAGTCATAGTGTGTATAAGGCATCTAAAGAATAAATGCCTAAAGTCAGATGTGTTGGTACATGCCTATAATCCTAGCACTCAGGAGGCTGAGGCAAGAGTATCATGTGTTCAAGGCCAGCCTGGACTACATAAGGAATTCCAACCCAGCCTGGGCTATGTGGCAAGGTCCTGTCTCAAACAAAAAAAAAAAATACACACACACACACACACACACACACTCACATGCACAATCAGAGAGAAAAGGAGAGATGATGCTAGCTGTAGCCTATACTAAGACAAAAAAAGAAATACAAACAAAACTTGTAATGCAGCCACTGTCCATTTTTCTGCTTCCCTTCAAAGCAAGATGCCCTATAGATTTCATGTATATTCACTGTCTCCTCTCCTCACCTCTCATTCTTCCCTAACCCATTCCAGTTAAGTCTGAATCCTTGTCAGTTTGCTGAAGTGACTCAGGAAGGTTACAAGGGATCTCTGTCTTACCAAATGCAGTGGTCATTCTTTGTCTTCACCTCATCCATCTTCTCAGCAGTTTTGGACATAACTGATGACTTCTGCCTTCCTGAAACACCTCATTCTCTGAGTTTCAGTGTGTGGCATATTCCAGATTTCCTGCTGCCTCTTCACTGGCCATTCCCTCTCAGTTTCCCTAGTTGAACAGGCTCAAGAATATTCCCTGTCCTTTCCTTGGGTAGAAGCTCATTCACTCTCAATGACTTAGAAACCAGTAGATAAACTATGGATTTCACATTTTTATCATCTGTCCTTGCCCTTGAAATCTGAACTGAAGTACCAACTTTTTTAACACAACCATCTACCTAGTTAGGTTACAAACTCTTAATAGTTCTTTCCCTCATCTCTTACAGACAGCCTGTCAGCAAGTCCTGCTGGTTCTCTCTGAGTAGATATTGAATGTTACCATTACTCTCTGTTGATACTACCCTCGTCCAATCCACCATTATCTATTAACCTCTGTACTGCCCTTTCTTCCCATAGCAGTCCATACTCTTTCTGAAATAGAGATTAGATCATACCACTACCCCCATTTAAAATTTCATGGTTCCTCACCATGCTAATAATAAAACCCATGTACCGTGACAAGGCTGGCAAGACTAAGAGATTTGGTCTCCAACAAGCCAATTCCATCACCTACCACTCTTGGTGACTCTGCCCCAAGTACATTAGAATTCTTTTCCCTCCTTGCAAAGCCTTTTCCCACTTGAGGTTTTTGTATTAGGTGTTCTTTATCTCAGGAATATTCTTGTCACTCACCTTCAGATGTTGCCTCCTGCTCATTTTATTCGGATCTGAACATAAACATCACTCCTCAGATAGGCTGTATCTGACTCCTCCCCATCATCTTATTACTATGTTTTATATTCTTCACAGCACTTATTCTTGTCTAAATGTGTCAGATTTGTTTGTCCTCACACTCACTGTCATCCACTGAAATAGAAATTCATTAAAGCAGGAGTTCTGTTTTCCTCAATATTGTATCTCCAGAATCTAGGAGTGTCTGGCATATAAAGTTCAACAAATATTTGTTAAGTTAATGAATAATGATGCTAAGCAGATTTTACAAGGACAATTTTAATGGATACCTAACTTCAAAAAAAACCCCTCTATGTCTAATAAGCCCTGTAACATTGGACAACTTCCTAATAATCTGAACTACCATTTGCTATATATAAAATGATATGTAGAGCAGGTATCAGTTGAGGATTGTGATAATAATAAAAAAGTGAAAGTAGTTGCAAATTTTCTCCTATAGCTTCTCATAACATATGCATTAGCAATCTAAAAGGTCCAGAGTTTTGGGATTTTTTAATGTAGAGAAGTTTATGTAGGCTACACTCTATCTCAAGATAGAACGTAGAATGTTTCAGTGAAGACTGATGGGTAATGTTATTTCATCTAAATTATCAGCCTTTTTGCTTTTCGATAAAGTTCCCTCCCCACCCCACTCTGCTCCCACTTAATTGTGATTTTTCACAAATACAGTTTCCTATCATTTATCAGCCACTTCATAGGAACTTCCAGAGGGGAGGATGAAGTGGTGAGCAGGCCTACTCAAAAGTCAAGAACTTTGTGCACTCAAAGTTCAGACCTGCTCCCCAGCAAAAGGAACTGCACATATTGCCACAGCCATTCTAAAGAGGTCACAATAGAACCAGGACTCTAACACCACTGAAAAAGGGGTTGCTTGACAGGGGTTCTTCAGACCCCAAGATAAAATAACATCTTCTTCAGAGTTTGATCCTTAATGAACTATGAAAAGTACACTACACAGTCCCATTGGAGCACCACTTGTGTGTGAAGTACATAGCACTGACTACAGGAGGCAAGAAGGCATCTCTAGTACAGTCTTGGCATACCTCAGCACTGTTTCTCCTCCCACATTTTCTACTCTGCACTCTCACCCTTACCATCACATGAACCAGCACCTTGCCAGAGTTTGTACCACACTGTGTCCTTGTATTTTTAGTTGAATAAATAAAAAAACACTGAAGGCTGCCTTTTTGTAACCTCCTCAAAACCAGTTTTTATTAAGAATGCTTTCAGAGATCTCTGCAGTGTAACAAATAGCAGAATAAATTCATCTAAAACCCTCTTAAAATATCTTAATACCAGTTATTCAGTATCTCAACTGAATCATCAGTGCACAATACCTTTTTTTTTCTCTTTCTGGTACCACACTCAGGGCCTCAAGCTTGCTAGGCAGGTGCTCTACCACCTGAGTCACTCCACCCAGCCCATGATCCTCCTGATCTCTGCCTTCCAAGTAGCTTCGATTACAGGCATGAACCACTGGGGTCTGGCTCCTTTCATTTTCAAGTATTAATTGAATTTTTCAATTAAAAGAACATCTGAACCTATTCTAAATTTTTTACTTTTGCTTGAAACAGCTTCCCCTGTTCTTTTATAATGGCTTTACAACAACTTTAACAGTAGGTGGTGCTACGAATGCACAAAAGGAAATTTGTATAGACCAAAAGAACTGTCACAGCTTTATTTTGTGACTCATTACAATGTAGAAATATGTCATTTTAATACTTCATATAAAGTTACTGACAATACAAATATTTTTCTTTTTTTTTCCTTTTAATGAAAATGATTTAACTTAGAAATCTATTGTGAAACTTTTGTCTAGTTTTGCAATTCTAAGATATTCCAGTGCAAAAATAGATCCATTACAGACAGCATAAAGTGCTTGGAATGAATGGCCAATGACAAAGGAAAAGCACAAAACCAACTTTATCCTAGGGAATAAGAAGGGACAATAGCATAGCTAATCCTTAGCGAAATACAAACATTCTATAAAAAGGGATGCAACAATTTCTGAAAGAATTAAAAGCAGTATTACTATTGTATTCCACTATTACTAGTAAATAGTAACAAGAGTACAAATTATTATCTCTGTATCAAAGTGGTTCACTATTACATGACACATGGCTCTTTGGAAAATTTTTACCTGATATATACAACCATGAGAAGAAACATAGACAACTCCCTTTAAGTTGATTATTATACAGCAAATGAATGATATGCAACATTTAATAGTCACAAAACAGATGCTTTCAGTACAGATATAAAAATACAGTAGTTTGAGGTTTTGTTGTTTTTTAATAATGAATTGTGCTGGATATTTATAGAGAGAAGACTTGTTATTTTGTTATTTTTCACAGTTAAGTTCTCCAAGGTTTCCAAAAGAGTTCTGAAACTTACATAGTTACATTTCCACAGGGAATATGTAGACATTTTATCTGATTGAGGATAAAATTGAAAAATATTTCTACCATAATTAGGTTTATGCAGGAAAATTTAAAAGACTACTATTTGGATAGTCTAAAAGGTAACACAATACTAGTGAAGTCAATGTGTAACTGTAGATTGTAGCTTCAGAAAAGATCCCTCTAAATCTATATTGAAATGTGTTTTTTAAGTTAGTCCACAATATGTTTTGATTTTTTAAAATATGGCCTTGAAGTCAAGAGTATTAAAGCAAGGAGTTGCTTGGGGATTTTATTTATTGAAGAATTAGAACATGACTTTATGTTAGAATGAAAAATCCAACAGAAGTTCGATTTTGAAAAATAAACAATTATTCTTTGAATTTTATATATTTGAGGATAGCATAAAATAGTGATTTCATGCCAACAGTTACTAGACAATTGCTTTCAGTATTATTTTAGAAAATACATTAATTTCTAAGTCATTTTTTTCAAGCATTGAGTTAGATAACATTCCATAAATTTAAATATATATAAATTTGAAATAAATCTACAATCTTATACCTTTATATCTAATATTTAAATTTTAACAAAAGTTGAAGAAATTAGTGATGATATTGAAAGATTACTTGAACTTTGCCAAACAATAGTTCTCTCATATTTTTGTTTTCCCTCAAGACAGATGACATTAAACATTAGTCATCTGTCTAATATTTTTAAAAAATATTTTCTGACAAAAAATAAGTCTGGGTTAGAAAAGTCTGAAAAATATTCCATGTGGAAGCATTTTCTCTTTTATTTTTTTCATGATAGATTAGTGACTGAAGAGATGAAAACTTTGAGATTATCAAAGATTTATGGGGGAGTCTCCCACCTCTGCAGAGTCAATTATTTGAAGGTACTAAATGTCATAAGTAAAAGTTATTTTCAAGTTTCCAAACTACTTTCTCCTTGAAAGAGCTCACTGTTTAGCCTTGTCACCCCTTCTTGTCTTTTTCATTGTTGCTATGAAAAAAAAAAAAAAGGCTAGCCAATACTCTTTCAGTGGGCTTCCATAAAATCAGCAAAACAACCTATATGTGTAACCAGTTATAACATGACACAGGAAATCTGACAATTTCTCCTCATCCCTATCCATACATATATATTGATTCAGAGACAACATACACTCAAAAAACACTTAATTGATGAACTGATCCTGAGTATTCTATGTGATCTCAAAAAAATTCAAATATCAGGGCCTGAGATCTTGACCATCACATTGTTTTCTGGTCACTGGCACTAGTCAGATGTTCCAACTACAAACTTTAGGCAAATAAAGCTAGTGAGGCAGTGTGGCCAAATTCCTCTATACCACAGGGTTCAAACAAAGAGGCCATTCCAAGGTTTCAGCAAGTAAGTGACAGAACTTAAAATTCCCTATGACATTAATAGTATAAAGATTTTTGTCAAAATACAACTCTTTTTGTTTTCTAGATTGACCAAAAAAAAGCCAGAAATACTACTACACTTGTTTCAAATAAGAAAAAGATTGTGAGATGCAGTGTACCGTATTAGCAGACAATCAGGACACATGGGCACAGACTTTCCCTACCTTTGAATGCATCATCTCTTCTATCCTGTGCCCTGACCTCAGCAGCCTGCAGTCCCTTAGCAGTTTGACTGCTGATCCTTTGTTTCTTATCAAGATCTAAATGTATTTAAGCAGTCCCAGGAAGATGATCCCAGAGACCCATGACTTCAAGCATGGGAAAATATGTGTCTAGAGATATTCATATTTTTGCATGTTTCAGCCACCATAGCAGCTCATCAAAGAGATCAAAGAAGGACTTTAGTCACACATGGCACCATTTTGTCACCTGATATTCAATGATGTTGATAGACTCTGAGCAGGGTAGCTTTCACATCAGTGCATGTGACACACCATGGTGCTTCAAACTTTCTGAGCAAGTTGGCACTAGTAATTCTGGCACACTCATTGCCAGCAATGGATGTGTCACCGGGAAATCAGTCTCCTGACATGGCACAGCTTAGTGGATGAGGGTTACATGCCTTGATTTTGATAATCACTGGCCATGATTATTTGATGAATTTTTGTTGCAATCCAAGTGAGAATACACAGGAACAAAAAAGTATGACTGCAAACCCACTGGGTTCCATACTAGTTTCACATAAGTATAAGATAATAAACTAAATTCAAGTCTTTCACTAGAGAGCCATACAAGACAAGGCTACAAAGGCACTGCCCCTGTAATGGAATTTTGTTTTCATTGCATTGAATTGCATTGCATTGAATAGTGTCAGTACAGTATCCAGTTTATTTCTTTCCACAACTTCTGGCACTTCCCTCTGGAACACTTGACACAGTGCAAAGGAAGATCTAGTTCCTCTTTACTTTCGGCCATCCTGTGTGAACAGAATTCTTCACACATAACTTTCTTTCACTTTCTCATCCTGCAGAAAAGATGTGAGCATTGCAACATCCACCACTGTCTGGTTTTTGTGTAATGACAGATCCTTTAAGTGGTCATCGTCACTTTGGTCCTTGGCAAAGTTCACAAATACCTGTCAGAAGAAAGACAGACTTCTTTGAATATCTCCTGACTCACTCTTAATTCTAGTTAATTTTTCCATATGTTAAAATTAGGTCAGATAGGAGAATGCAGAATTGTATGAGCAGATTAAATAGAAAACTGTGTGAAGGAGGTAGGAGTACTTGAAAAGTGTCAATAGCTACTTAAAAATGTATCTGTTCCCCCACCACCACACACACACCACCAACTGTTCAATCATCTATTTACTTTGGCACACGTAAGCTTCATTAAAGGGAAGAGGGAAGAAAACACTTACTGAATACCTATTAAGTGCCAAGATCTGTTTGGTACTTTTTGTTATCTAAATGTCATAGGCACCTGGCAAAATGCCTGGCCCATGGTTGGTATTCAATAAATGGAAATTATTTTGATTACTGATACAATAAATTCTCACGATAACACTACACAGTAGAAAGAATCATCTTTCTTTTTGTTTCATAGAAGTTTAATAAAAAGCATAGTAGTAATAACATGAAGAATTCAAGCACAGTTAACATGAACAGCTTTGGGGCTCATGGTGGGAGGTGAGTGGGTAGGAATCCTTACTCTGAGAAGTAAATCTATTTTTTTTTTTTTGGTGGGACTGGAGTTTGAACTCAGGACTTTGCACATGCAAAGCAGGCACTCTTCAGCTTGAGCCACACCTCCAGTCCGTAAATCTATTTTTGACACTAAAAACTTACTTGGTCAAGTGTTGTCTGAGAAACAGAGTAGTCCTCTATGTGGAGTCGCTTTTTGCTCTGGGAGAGGATGCTGAATATCCTGGCCAGAGAAGATAATGAAGATGGAAGCTGGTACTGTAACATGTTCCGGTGTTTTTCTTTTAGGACGCTTCCTGGAAAGGCAAGTCCAAAGAACTCCTGGACAGGCTTCAGGTCAGGGTTGGACCCTGCTATTCGTACAACTATAGTATAACCATCTCCAAATCTGAAAGCAGGAAAAATAAAACACCCAAATGGAGTATCTCTGGGAAACTTCTCAAAAGAATACTTAATCCTGAGAACCATCTTACACCATGAAAAAGGGAGGTCTTTGACAGACCAAGAGATCAGTTTCTGAGAGAAAGGAACCAGTTATCATTTTCTTTTGAATACGTATTCTATGTACAGTGATATTCAGTGCCTTGAATATATGACTTCATTTAATCCTCTGAAGTCTGGATCCATGAAGTCTGACACATGTCATAGAGAAACTGAAGCCCAAACAGTTAGTCACTCGCCCATATAAAAAAGTTCTTAAGTGATAGGGCTAGGATGCAAACCCATTTGTATTGACTCCAAAGCTTGTATTCTAAATCATAATGTCATGTGAATTTTTTAATCTCATTTATATAATAAAGCTTAGAAGTAATATTCCTAGGAAACTGACTCTCAGATAAGTAACTTGCCTACAAGTTACACACCAGTATACGGTAAAGACAGAATGTGAATACAGCTCAGTTTGGTTTTAAGGCCCTCATTCTTTCCACTATACCATTTCCCTCAGTTTAATTTCTCTTTATTTTTATTTCTAAGCCACCACTTACTCACAAATGGATAAATGTCATGCCTTCTCACTAGGTGCTATTCCAAAGAAATTATCTTTTTTACCTGTTTTTCAGATGTTGGACACTGCCAAGGCATCTAAATCTCCCATTGACCATAATTGCCATCCTTGTGCAAAGAGCTTCACATTCTTCCATACTGTGGGAAAACAGAATGAAGTTTTAGTATAGACAGACGCTCCTATAACCATCAGAATATCATAATAACATCTGGTATTTCAAAGAAACAGATCCCTAGCTACCTAAGGCATAATCTCTTACTGCTTGAGCCACTCCACCAGCTCAATTTAAATCACGAGGTTTTTTGGGTTTTTTTGGTTTTTTGGTTTTTTTTGGCAGAACTGGGGTTTGAACTCGGGGCTTCAGGCTTGCTAGGCAGGCGCTGTTACCGCTTGAGTCATTCCGCCAGCCCTAAAAGGCATAATCTCAATCTGTGACAAAGACATGAAGATACAGCGATAATACTGCAATGCTCTTAAAATTGTGAACAAGTTGGAAACAATCCAAATGTTTACACAAAAGGGAATAGTTAAATAAATTAGGGCAGGTATAGCCTAATGAAATAACTATCCAGCTATAAGAAATGATGACACACCTATTTATTCAGTTGGGATAACACATACAAAATATTATTAGGTAAAAAAGAGCAGTATTTGTACTATGCTTACATTGTTTGTAAAAATACACAGAGTATACAAATTAACATAGGAAAACTGCAAACATATATAGGGCAATCAGAATAATAGTTATATCCAAGTGGTACAATTTCAGCTGATAATCTTCGCCTTTCTGCATTTTCTAATTTTTACGAGATGATCATGTCTACTACTTGGCACATTTGAAAATCATAGAGTGTAGAAGTCAACCCAGCAGTTCATTACAGACCTATGAGATGTAAGCACAACTGATCTCCCCTCTTTGACAATGCTTAGAGCACAATTCCACAAGAACCTCCGGGCTTTGGGATCCATACCTGTGGTTGGTTCATCCTATAATTAGAATAAAGCAAATTTCATCTTTAGCTAGAAAAAGCACTGAATATAGAATTGTTTTTAGATGCTGAAACATTCAAAGTTTACTTACTATTCTAGTTATTTTTGATAGACCAAAAAAAAAAAAAAAACCCCAATGAGTTTTGATCTCATTTGTAACAAGGTCACTTTTATAAATGTCTCATTAAAGCAAGAGACTCAAATATTATGAGTAATTTTTTATAAAATTAAATTTCTCCAAGTCAATACGGAAGGGAAAAAGCCATTAGTTATAATCATCTTTCATGACTGATAAGCATGTTTTTTAAATGCTCTTTATCTAAAACCTCTGTTGAAGTCAGGATAAGGTTTAGGTAAACTTCCTCTTCCTCTATTTTATTCTCACTCACTGCAGCTTACCCTGTTATCTTGCATTCACTAGTCTTTGTGAAATTCCAGATCCTTATGTCAGGATTAACATTGAAGGTTTCTTCCTATCCCTTCAGTACTATTCTCTACAGAAGAAAGAGGGTCAAGGGCTACTGCCCAGCCTAATCTATTTTTCATTTATCTGTAAGGAACTATGGTTTAGTTGCTACTGTGGGGATCTTGAAGCTCTGTCCTCACTCTCCATCTTTAGGGAATGAACACATAGATTATCAAAAACAATATTCCTGAGAAAAACCAAATCACACATTCAGCCTCAGTCCTACTTATAACAGTTCTTCAAACCAGAGAAATAGGTTGCCTGAAGTATCTATTTGGGAGCATCTGAAGGTATGGCAAAGCCACCCTTAGTGTGTGCTGAAGGAGAAGCTTCCCTCTGCTTTTCCAAGGCTGCTCTGTCATGGAACAGCCCCAGACATACAGGACTTTGGAAAAGCGATGTTTTCCATTCAGGGCAGAAAACAGTTTTCCACACTCAGACACACTCACCAGAAATACCACAGGAGGCCCACCAATCAAAGCCATGGCTGTTGAAAGCTTGCGCTTGTTACCTCCACTATAGTTACCAGCATATTTTTCTCCATACTTCACAAGGCCCAGTTTCCGAATTGCCCATTCGCCAACCTAGAGAGATAAAAAGCATCTTGACTTTTCTCTGGTTTGGTAGTTTTATCATGCTTTTTTACACTTCATATGAAAGTTCTTTCATTAGGACTAGATTCTATAATCATGACCTGGCAATCACTGAGGAGCCAAAAGCAAGGAGAAAGGATTCATGCAGTGAAAACAGCACTGCTTCTCTCCTCCCCAGCCCATGCATGTCCACCCACCCCTGCCCCCCAGCCACTATGACTTCCCATCCTAAATAGGTGCAAAGAGCAAGCATTTCACATTATAGCATACATGAGGAAAAACAGCCTACATTCAACACCATATGTGAAAAAGCTGTAAGGTGTAGTGTTGGATGCTAAAAGAGGAAGGTTGGGTTTCTGGTGTCAAGCACCTTGCCAACTTCTTTCTCTGGGACTCCCCTCAAGAGGGCAAAGAACTCCACATGCTCTCTCCCAGTCAGCAGCTCAGTGATGGCATCGAACTGAGGGCAATAGCCCATGTTCTGATGTACTTCATGGATATTTGATAAGATGCTGTGAAGAAAAATGAAACTAGTCAGGCTTTAAGTATTTAGAGATATTCTGATCAGACAATCTAGCCTAAATGTTCCTATCAAGTGCGCTTGTACATAACAAAGGTAATCACAGACACGCTGCTGCCTGAAGGAATAGCCTTTCTGCCCCTAAGATGCCAGCTCTTCCTGGCAGTCAGAGATCCTGCCTCTACCCTGCCAGGGCCTTGCTGGCTCTCTCAACACTTCAACCTGAAAGCTCAGTCTTATTTCAAAATTCTAGAGCCCATGCTAACTGAAGCATACTCTTAACCAACAATCAAGTTACACTACCAAGAAACTGCAATGCTAAGTTTCTATCTCAGACTCAACCCTGTGACCAAGTACTCCTTGTCTACGTGACTATCTGGACCCAGAAAAGGCCCATAAATGCTGGGTGTGAGCTGCCTCTGCCTCCTTCTGCCCACACACTGACTCAGACATAGTGTGTGTGTCCTAGACCTGGTCCCACTGAATATCCAGCCTAGATACCCTCCTAGCTCTTAAGGTGTTTTTTCATCACAGACCTTCTATAAACAGGGGAAGAGAAAAAAAATTACACCTACAACTTTACATAAACCATTGGGGGTGCTTTTAGCTTCTATGAAGCCAATCAGTTAAAAGTCCCTAATATATGAAAATTTTAGCATCTATATTCCCCCAGTCTGATGGCTGTACTCTAGCCACCTCCAGATAGCCATGAACTTGGTTCTTCAGCAGCATTCTCTACATATCTATTTAGTACTCCCCAGACCAGCCTTTTCCAGACCCATGTTAAGGTACCTATAAAGACTGTGACTGGTCCTCACAGCTACACTGACCAAGTCAGTTCTTATAACTAGTCACTGTGACAAACCTTAGTTAGGGCTAGTTATTGCTGCCAAAGCCCAGGAGCTTGATACTAGAAACAAGCCTGGGGTAGTAGCACTATTCCCGGAATTTCTGTTCTCTTAAGGTTCCTTTACATTGCTACTGAAAAACCTGGTAAGCAATGGGGGAAGAGATCAATGCATACATTAAGTTCCTTGTTCTTCAATATTATTGGCTATCCCCCATCCAGTGTTTCCAAATTGTGAATCATCTCTTATTAATGGGTTGTGAAATAAATTTAGTAGGTCACAACCAAGAATTTTAAATGACATGGTATAGAGTAGAATAAGAAATATCAAAGTACATACAAGTAGTAACACTAGGTACCATTTTATGAGGCTTTTCGTTAACTTCTGTTTATGTGTGTATGCACTGCACTGAAAGATAAAATGTATTTCCTTCATGAGTCATGGTCAGAAAAGCCTGAAAGTCACTGCCTTATCCCTTTTATCCATATAAAAGGCCCAGGGAAGCCTCACATATTTAGAGTGCTCAGTGTGATATCACCTCACAGGTCTCTAGTGGGTGGCCCTGAATATCAGACTGCTTAGTGACCTGTACAGTCTCAGAAAATGGCCTAACAGTGGCTTCATCAATTGGTACACCTCCTAAAGAGGGCGATTTGGCAGGTGCATACTCTTTTATATCGTAGGAATTTTCCCTGAGGAAATAATAGCACTTGAATATAAGGACATATTTACATATATATGGACATATTTACATAGTGAAAATGGGAACTAAGAAGTTTCCAGCATTTTTAGGGAAGTAAACAAATAAATCCTACATGTGAGTTTTATACAATGCAAAATTCTTCATTTTAGAATATGTAACCCATTGGGAATAATATATACATTAACAATAAAAACTGATGTAAAACCTATGTAAGTATAATCTTAACTTTATGATACATTTATATGTATAGAAAGATTTTGGGGTGAGTGGAAAAGTTCTAAAACCAAATTGTGGTGATGGTTGAACAATTCCATAGATTTACTAAAACTCGTTGAATTATTCTCTGAAAATGAGTATATATTTCTAATGTTACAATTATATACGTGTAAATTATATCTGAATAAAACTATTAAAAAGAGTAGAGTGAGACGGATTAAAAAAATGTAAATAGCGCTTATTGCTAGGTAGTAAAATTAGGGGTTTTTTAGATATCTTACTATATTTTAACATTTTTATGAACTCTAAATAGTACTGTTATAGTCAGAAAAATAACAATACATTTCTTTACGCTGAAAAAAGTTCTTGTAAAAAAATACAGGTCACTTCTCTCTCACCTATTTTTATTAAGGAAAGCATCGCCTCTGGTGACATTGGTGTCTCCAGTTAACATCTTGAAAGTGGATGACTTCCCAGCACCATTAACTCCCAGAAGTCCAAAGCACTGTAAAGGTAAGACTGGGTGAGTTGGATAAGCAAACAACAAAATTCTAAATGTGAATGGCACTGTGAAAGAGCCACCTTAACTTAGTTTCTATATGATGTGACTCTTAAACAGCATTCTTAAATGTCAATGACAAGTCAAATATTTTCTTGATTTTAAGACATTATATAGATTTACAATGGGACCATGTTATATGTGGGTGTATTTATAATTATTGAGTCATCAGGTTGAGACCAAAGTTAATATGTGAAAAGCAGTAATGAAAGCTAACTAGTCAAGTTACATCACCTAATTTGGCTAAAGAGCATAAAAGAACACAAACAAATGAGAAAGGAAAACATCTATTTTTTTTAATCTATTTGAATTTCACCATCATCTCAAAAGGATCACAAAAGCATGTTTTAGATGTGTGTGCTTTTGTTAAACTGCCTCAGATTATTCAAAATTGTTGAATTCTGACATAAGGAGTCCCCATTCTCTGCATAACTGATTTCTTGCACAGACAGGCATAAGTAGAGTAGGCCTCAGATGCCACCTTTACCCCTACAGACACTGTTATTTGGGTAAAAATAATCTGAATTAATATAGCTAAACACAATCAGACAAAGTTTGTTTACCTCTCCAGGGGGAATGCCAACACAAATCCTGTCAACAGCAGGCTTCCTCTTCCTTGGGTAGATCTGCAGCAAACAAAAAACAAAAACTCATATACTTCAGGGATTCACAGCTCTCCCAAGCAACTGTGGAAGAGAGGATTATAACCCAAATGTACCACAAAATAACTTATCAGTAAGACTCACTGCATATTTGATATGCTAAGAGCCTTACTCTGTCTCTGTGACAACTGGCTTCTGACTGATTCTGAAGCTCAAAATTGAATTTCTTTTGGTTTTTAATCTGGGTCCTTAAAAATCTATGTAATTTTTCATTTATTTAACATAAATAGCACACATTTTAAAAGTTAAATTCTAAAGGGTAGTTATTTATAATCAAAATCTCATATATATTTTTAAGTGAAATTTTGGGATTCTGGCATTTAGAGAGGGTGAACCAGACCCTCCTGAGCAATGGAAATATGGAAATTTTTGAACTATGAAACTCAAAATCATGTTATTCTCTTCTTTATTATTACTGTTGTACTGGGGGTACATACAAAAGTTCTTAAAATACATCATAGTTGAATTCATCCCCTCCATCATTCTCCTTTATTCCCCTTCGTCCCATTTCTGGAGTAGTTTCAACAGGCCTCATTTTTCCATTTACATACATGTGTACACAATATCTCCACCATGTTCACCCTCCTACACCCTTCCTACCTGTATTAGATACACAATATTAGTAAGTTTTAATACCTAACACATAAATATAAGCATGCAAAATAAATTCTAGAGTAGGAATTTATATTACAGAAATAAGATTTCTTAATTAAGAAGTCCCCATGGTGTATTTTAAATAAAATTAAACTGATGGAAGTTTGGTATAGATTCACTTGGAAAGCATGCTTTTTTTTTTTTAATTAAGCAAGTCAGCAAATTGCTAGTTTTCAGCATATACAACTGAAAAAATTGAATACAAGCTGTTATAACCTGCACTTCTGGTCTCACCTTAGTCAACTCCTTAATTTCCAAGATATCATTCTGTCCTCCACCATCCAGAATTCTCTGTCTTTCCCGCCTTACATCTTCATCCTCATCATTCAAAGGAGGAAGCTTCGTGTTTACGGGTCTTACAGGAAAAATTTTAAGAAAAATCAGCCTTTCAAACTATTTTCCAAGACAAAAATTCAGTCTCTAAAACAGTCTTATAAAATCCACTTCCACAGTTTCCAGGATTTCCAAGCTGGGGGATCATCAGATGCCCATAACAGGAAAATCAGTTATCAAGTTCAATTCAATCCAACCACCATTGATGAATATTTCCCTGCACTGCTCCTCTGTAACCATTAACCAGGTACAACATGAGTTCTTAGGAAAAGCTCACCTGGGCCTAATGAAGAATCTGTACTGGATCAGAACAGTAATGAGGAAGAACACCACCCCTTCCACGGCCATGGCAAAAAGGTTTCGTCCTACCAAGTCCCAAGACAGTGGTGACACAAAGCGATCCTCCCCTGGGGGACACAATCAGAGATCTGGTCAGAAAAGAAGCATCAGGAACCATGGCCCTTCCTCAGATTTGGAGTTAAGTTCACATATTTTCCTGGAAATGTCAATGACTATTATCCATGACAAGGAAAAAAAATGAGTGAAGTCTTTCATGGGAATATTGAAAGACCCTATATCAATCAGTATTTCAGAGTCAAACTTACTTAGATCTGTGACTTCATGTAAGATAGCTAATACCTCCTTTTCAATGAGACATGCTATCATGTAAGATAGCTAATACCTCCTTTTCAATGAGACATTTAAAAAGATCCTCTTTTTAAAAAATTTTTTTGGCATTACTGGGGTCTGAACTCAGGGCCTCACTCTACCACTAAGCTATGCCCACAGCACTGTTTTTGCTTCAGTTATTTTTCAGACAGCATCTCATGTTTTTTGCCTGGAGCTGGGCTCAGGCCATACTCCTCCTTCCTATGCTTCCCATGCAGAGGTGGGGTTTCAGATGTGCATCACCACATCTGGCTTGCTTATTGAAATAAGGTCTTGCTAACTTTTTGCCCAGTTTGGTCTCTAACTGCAATAGTCCTGATCTCTGCCTCCCAAGTACCTGGGATTACAGACATGTGTCACCATGCTCAACCAAAAGATCCTTCTAAATAAAGCAAACAGTCCAGGATTGGTATGTTAATACATTTTTAATTTTAATAGTAATAAACATTAGAATACATTGAAAAGATACTCATTTCATTAGTACATAATGTAACCTACTGACTCAATTAAATTACCTGGTTTTATGCAAATATTCCTTAAATTCTTTATCTCCTTTGTACCTCTAAGTCAAAAAAAAGTTCCTCTTCAATGTCTACTAAATAATATGGCTCATTTAATCAGCAGATGAGCAATAGTCATATAACAATAGGAGAGATACTTTTAGCTACTCTCAAGGTAGAAAGAGCTGTAGTAAATTATTTTTATAGACTGTGTGAAAGATAATATATGACCACATTTGCAAGCCCATTATTTTCCTAATAGAGTCAGTGTGCATCTTTCCATTTGATTCTCTGGCTGGTATCTAATTCTCAAAGCTATGCTTTGAGTTTTCTAATGATTTGGTAAATCCAACCAGTAGCATTAGGTCCAAGCAAATGGCAGCATTGTTGTTACTTCCAAAGTAACCTTTTCACTTATCTCAGTGCTATGAGAAGCACTGATATCATGAGACTCTTGTCAGATCAGCTGTGTTGGCACAAGCCTTTGGGAGTGAGGAAAGGATGGACACCCTGTGCCTAGTCTCCAGCTTCTTTCCAAAACACAGACCAGGGTGCCAAGGCCCATGCAAATGGCCACCTCCATTGAAGCCCCTACATCTACTACTTCACTCACCAAACCGTTCCAGTGCATCAGCCATTGCCTGGTTCTTCACCATGTCAATGAGCCCGCGTCCCAGGCAAAAATGTGGGAAGATCAGGAACACAGACTTCAGGATGTCATTGATGTTATTCAGCTTCTAAAAAAAAAAGAGTGGGGAGGGTAATAGCATTCAAAGTCTGAAATATACAAGAAAAAATGAGATTCCCAGTGTACAAACAGGACCTTTGCATTCAGATGCCAATTAATAACAGTAGGCATTTTCTGTTCTTTAAAAAATGTAGAGTATGGGGAAATGAACAAAGTTTAGAAACACAGATACATTTAATCTGAAGTAAATCCACACCAAAATATTTGCTTAGCATTTTTTAAAAGAAAACTGCTCATGTCTGAGTCAATATTTGAGTTCTGGGATTTTGTTGGAATTTTTTAAAAATATCAAATACATCAGAACTTATTATGATCCCACAAGGAAACAGTGGCTGGATATCTAGCAATTTACTTAGTTGTGATATGCTAGCTGCATTGTGCTAGGGCCTGGGAGAAGCAAATTCAATAAACAGCCTCCACTCTGAGGAAGAGAAACATGTAAATTGGAAATGACTACATAACTGGCTATATGTTGTACTGGAGGAAGAAATGAGGGCTCTGAGAGCCCAGGGAAAGGGGCATGTAAGGAAAGCTAGACTGAGCTAAATCTTGAAGGGTAAGAGAGATGCTCCCAGGCCCTGTGATAGATGGGCATTTCAAGGCAGGCCTACAGGGTATGATGGATTTAAGGGACAACTCAGCTGAAGTTACAGGCCATTGGGAAAGTAAATCGTGGTAGAAACTGGCCTGTAAGGTTTGTGTACCTACCAAAAGCACTATGTGTTAAACTCAGGTATTTGAACAGAGACAACACTAACAGAAATGGAGAAAGAGCCTTGGTTTATGAAGTTTATAATTGGAAAAATTGATGACCAGTTGGATGAGGGAAATAAGCACTAGCAAAGCATCTATGATGACTCCAAGAAAGCTAGGATGAGCAGCTGCATGAATGGTAATGTGATCAAGTGTTACAGAAATGGGAAGAAAAAACATTAGGTTCTGAGGGGAAAGATGATGATGTTATGTCCAGTTTGTGAAATTTACAAATCATCTAAATGGAGCCATTCACTAGGCATATGACAATAGAAAACTAAAGTTCAAGAGAACAATGAAGACATCAATTGAAGAGATAAAAATAAAATACTAAGAGAGAGGGTGGTAAGAAACTTACGACTGAATGACATTGCCCAGAAATGGTGCCTAAATTGGCAAGCAAAGATGGCAGAGGACCTAGCGGTGGAAAAAACAATACTGAAGTAGAAAGAAATGTAGAACTATAAAAGGAAACTGAAAGGCTTGGCCAGAGAAATACAAGGCAGAACAGGAGAGAAAGGGGCTGTGCAGATCCAGGGAAGGCAGAATCTAAAAAACAGGACAGAGTGGTTAGCAGTGTCAACACCAAAGACAGGTGGAATAAGATCACGATTATTCGCTGTCCTCTGGCATCCAAAGATGTTCATCCCAGCAGGAGGTGCTTTTTCTGCAGAACTCACATTGTTGGTGAAGAGCTCTAGCACAAAAGTGGCCACACTTCCATTGATGCCGATGAAGAGGTTCACACTGGTGAGTACCACATAGGCGGTGCTGGGGATCTTGAACACAAAGGAGGCTGGGTACATGAGAGGTGTGATGGACCACCTGGTGAGGCACAAAGATAAATGTCCACTGGAGTCCCTCTGACATTGGGTACCATATGCCTTACCCACTGTGAGCACCCCCACTCAGAGACTCCTTACCCATACAGCAAAAGTAAAAGGGCTAGCACAGGCAGGTTGGTGGAGGACACATAGGACTTCTGCTGGAAGCAGATGAAGATGATAATGACCAATGTAGCAGGCACCACATAATTGCACTAAAAGAAAAAACAAGGAAAAAAAGTTGACTCCTAAGTCAAATACATAACACATCCCAAGTCTTCACCATCATCAGACAAGAAAGGGCAGATAAACATATTGGAGAATAACTTTGAATTAATGAAGCCACATACACCATTAATCAAAATGCTGGACAGTACATTGTGACAAGCATTTTATCCTTGGATGATTTTATAAACTGCATGCCCTTTCTGTCTTTCCCACAGCTAAGCCAAGGTGTCACGCTCAGTAAACTTACTAAAGGATGAATTCTCAGCCAGAGTAATTTGAATTTCACAGGAGGAAAATAAGTTTCCATTATTCTTCCCAAAAATGATTGTGTCTGTTTCATCATTAGTGCTATATTATAGTCTTCCCAAGTTCAATCTCACATGTAATCTATTTATGAGGTAAGCACTCATACCATGAATGTCAGAATTGTTTCATCACACTGAGAATAATCTTAAAGTCTGTCCTGACAGTGTTTCAGGCATTAAAATGCAGAAATAAAGATTTGGCCATGGGACAATTATGAAAACTTATAGCTGCAGGGTAAAGCACTGGCAGGGCAGTAATGGTGGGTTTGTCAGCTGTTAGAAGAATTCCAGCTTCAGACTTCAAGGCTCTGCCTAGTTCCTCTCCTACTGGATCCTACTTAATGTGTTTATCAACAATTAGATTTGCTCACAGCAAATCTCAGGCTGTAAAGCAGGAAGGAACTAGACACATGAAAACATAAATGATGTCCCTGAGGTCAGAGACTTATCTTCCTTCTCTGAATCTCCTATGGCTGAATCAGACAAATAGTGAACACTGAGGCCCCTCAGTACGTTTTTAAATAAATGAAGTAATTACTAGATCAAAATAAAAACAAAAACAAAACAAATGGACCAAGATGCAGTTTAACAGGGATAAATACAAAGTTTAGGTTAAAAAAGGTCAATTGCATTAGCATAGAATGAAAGAGACCGGATTTAACGATCATCTGTAAGAAACAGAGGTTTCAGTTCATTACTGAGTTGCCAATAAGACAGTGCTACTTCTAAAACTAACACCCTTTTGTGCTGCAGGAAGAGAAGTATGGGGTAAAGATCAGTCCTCTCTAGACTCATAGCCATTCAGACCACAGCCTGAACACAAGGTTAATTCTGGACTCTGCTTTACAAAAGGGACATTAACAATATGGAGCATGGCCCTGGAAAGGCAATCAGATCAAAACAGTGGCAAGTCTTAGAGGTGTGGTATAATTAGCATAGATATCATCATCTTCTCCACCATAATTGCTTTCATCTGTACAGTGCTTTAGAGACTACAAAGTATGTTTTCATGTATCATCTCACCTGTAGGAGACTTCGGTTAAATGAGAGTTGTCTTTAAATATCCAATAAGCTGTCCAATGAGAGAATTTGATTTGTTCTATGTGGTTTAGACTTCATGGAAGCCATGGGGAAATACAGCTATACTTCATCTTACAATAGTTAAAACTTCAGAAATCTTTGAATGTCTTCCCATATTGATACAAAAACATTTGTACATTGGCACAAAAACATTTGGAATGAATGGATAAGGTACTGGTAAAATGTATGAAGTTTACAAATGGCAGGTAACTTTCCTAGTAAGGATAAAATACTCTGACTCTGTAGGTTAAAACATATTAGAAAAGTTAGAGGTATTTGCTTGAAGTTTTGATTGAGATCTTTCCATTTCTATGTTTCTTGGGTAAGTATGTTTGGAAATTGGATGGTGGTGGAAATAACTATACTCACTGTAGACAGATGTTCTCCCTGGTATGAAATCAGCTTTGTAACCAATGTTACATTTGGTGTTGTGGAAGTGTACAGCTGGCTCTCCTATTCCTTTTTCATATATCTTTAGACTAACTGGAACACTTCCTGGTGCTAGTCAGGGGCTCCTTCTGTCTTTTCCACACCAATCCCTGGCCCCAGTAGAGACTCATACAGAGATGACAGGCCTGTGTCCTCACCATATCCCAGACAAAATTGGAGAGCCAGTAGATGACAGGCTTCACCCCGCTGATGAACTGCAGGTGCTTTGCTTTGCTAACCCGCTCCTGGATCAGGAACACAACAAAACTGGCTGGGACAAAGGACATGGCAAAGATGACGCAAATGGACACAAGGACGTCTACTGATGTGGTCATCCTAGAAGAAAAAGGCAGTGAGGATCAGAAGGGTCTTTGATTCAGTTGGGGACACAAAAAATAAGGAGACACACACATCCAGAGTGCAGCCCAGGGAAAAAAAGTGTCCACCAAATATGTTTTATTCAGGGTTCATTATAATCATTTTCATGTTTAAAAAAATGACAATTCAAATATAAAACTGATTTCATTATGGTTAAAAAGAGTCCTCCACCATAATTAAACTACTGAAGGACATTTGGGAGTGGTCAGTGGTGTTCAATTTTGTCCACAATTCTTGACCTTGTAAGAGCAGTAAGTTGTAAGTTTTCACACACACAAAAAAAATTAGTGTGGCTTGAAAACTAAGAAACAAATATTAGTGTGAAACTACTCAAATAATTTTCATGGCTATAAACAACAGGATGTAGCATGTCAATCTAACACATATAAAAATTTTAACAGGTTCTTTCTGCAAGAAAACACAAGCCCATTAAACAAAGTCTTGTTATAAAAATCCTTGCATTCTATATTGACACTCTATAGGAGTTAAGCAGAAACAATCAAAGTGCCATGCTCCATTGATAGCAAAGAGATCTAAACTTTTGAATATCAACTCTGTGCTGGATGCTTGGCTTGGCAATTTAAGTTGCCTCATTTAGTATCACACCATATATCTAGAAAGTTTAGAGACCAGATTTAAACCTACATTTCTCTCTCTCTCTCTCTCTCATACACACACACCCTTCAGAAAATAAAAACAAACTAATATAACACATTTCACAGAGACTAAAATGCTAGTTTTAAAACAAATGAAGCTGTTTTTTTCTATTAAATGTTTGTGCTAGTGGTCAATTATTTTAGGATTTTATTAACAGTTTTTAACTCACTATCATATGTAATATATTTTATATTACCTGTGTCATTTCCTTCTGCAGTCCAGAAAGTCTGCCAGTCAATTTGTAAACTGATCATTTTCCTCCCAGACTCTGGATGAATTTACATAGTGTAACTGTCTGGGCAGCTGCTACCCTACAACCAGCTTCATATTTCTTCCCTCTGCTCCATGATTCCCACAACCCACTCCTCTCCTCACCCCATCCATTTAGACACAGCTACACTTACAGAGCCACCTCTGAGAGCTGCTGCTTGGTTAGATTCAGGGGATGATTGAAAGCAGTAATCCCATACTGGCTAGGATTCTCTCCCTTCTGCAGGTTGGCCCGGAGAATGGCATTGTTGATGACATTCAGGAAAGAGCTGATAGCATGCCAGCCCTTGTTATTGAACCACACCTGAAATAAAACCAGGTACAAGGTAATGCGCTCATACTATGCTCCCAGAAGTGAGTGCACACTCACAAAACATGCACATAAACTTAAGAAAAAAACAATGCAGTCAGAGCACATGGCAAAGTAATGATACTACACAAGATACACTGACCACTGACCAGGTGACTGGTACTGTGCTGAAAACCTTTTATCCTTAACTCATTTATCCTCACAATTGTTTGCAAAGAGCCATGATTACTGTCTCCATTTTACAGATGATGAAACTGAGGCACAAGTTAAATAACAAGGTCAATATGGTTCACACCTAGTAAGTCTGGTGGCAAAGCAAAATATTCTTAATCACTGCAGTACAATCTTAATCACTGCACTGGTAAAATTAAGTTTGTTTTTTTTCTGTCACAAATACCCCCATCAACTTAACCATAAGCCGAAAATACTTCAGGGAACGTAGAATTATTGTTTCCCAAGAAGCTGCTAGAACCTGAACATCGGTTTACCTTGACGTTATTTTTGGTGTCCAGACCTGTCATGAACCTTCCCAAGCTGTTGAGAAATCGATCTGCAGAACTGTCCTATAAACAACAAAAACCTGTCTCAGTTGTGGTTGTTCACACAGGTAAGGGGTAACAATAAGTCTAGGATCTGTGACAATAGGACAGTCCTACAAAGAGCAATACCACCACTACCTCATTCATTAAAATTAAAGTTGAAGCTATTAAATAATTCTTGAGAACCAGGTGACCAAATATATCACTAATGCTGTTACGATGCCACAGATCTTCTCCTTCCTTCCTTCTTTCTTTTGGGAGTCCTGGATTTTGAACTAAGGGCCTTGCACTTGCTGGGTAAGTACACACCTCAATCACACCTCCAAACCTTTTTTAGTTTATTTTTCAGATAAGATCTTGCTTTTTTCCCAGAGCTGGCTTCAGAACATGATCCTCCTATTTCTGCCTCTGGGATTATAGGCATAAGCCGCCACACCCATCTCCATGCTACAAGTCTTGAAGAAATCACAGAGAAATCCCATGACTCAAAGTCTCGAGACTAATGTCTGGATATAACTAGGTGATGAGGATTCTTCAAAGTGTTTCCCTGGCATTATCCCAAGAACCACAACCACGTTCTACATGCAAATGTGTCAGACAAATGGGCCTGTGCTTCGGTCACACGATGTACAACTATCACTGCTGTCGAGGATTCCAGAGCCCATGTCATCCAAACCCCTCAGTTCTCACATTAAATTGGGAAACCCACAATACAGAGAAATGAACATGTGTTCCTTGGGTCCTGAGGACCAGCCTAGCAGCTTAAAAGTAAAAATAATTTCCTATTTAGCCAGTGACTGTTTTAGAAAAATCTGTTTGAAACCCAACTTACTTACCCACTGGCTAGACTTAACTACTTACTTGTCCTAAGAGTTTTTTTTAAATCTCTCAATTCGTGTTTGAAATACACTTTTAGACTTTTAAATATAGGTTGAGAACTTCAGTCTTGTCTGAATGAAATCATTGAATGCTGATGCTGGCTTTATATTCAAACATTTAGAATAAGCTGCTAGGCTCAGATTGACCGGCCTACTATTTCCACATCCCAGCAGCTCCACGTCCATTTTTTTTCTGCTCAGGATGGATACTGTACCTTGGTCAGTTTCAAGTGCTTCTTCATTTGTTTGATGGCTTCGTTAACTTCTTGACTTGGAGGAAGTGCTTGAGAATTACTGGCACCCAGGGAAAACCCGCCATACCTAAAAGGACAGTCTGACATTAAAACCTAGACAGTGTCATACAATCACTGAGCAGCAAACAGCACAGTGCACAAGATTCTTTGAGACCCATTTCTTATTCAAACTAGTACCAAACTTGTGGCAAGAGCCTGAGGTGGTGTTGAGGCTAACAACACCAGTTAGACATCTGAGACACTGAGAAAAGAATGATCATCTCACAGGTGCTCCTGTTCCCTGCAGATCAGCCCTGAACTTGTTCTGGAGGCAAGGAGATGGGAAGTCTGGGCAAGTGGTAGGACTTACAGACAGGCTTTATCTCGTCCCGGGCATGAGGCCCACCATAAAACTTGTGTCTGTTGTGCCAAAGTTCCAGGAACCCTGACCCTTGGGGAAAAGTGGGAGTCTTTAGAGTCCCCTAAGGAAGCCACATCACCTATCTCCTTTCCCATGATGAACAAATTGGCTGCAAGGGTGCTTCCTTTCCTGGGTCTACCTATTCCTTCAAAACCCAGAGTGGGGGGGGAAACGGATTGAAATACAGTGAAACTAAATAGATTTGATGTTTTTTATTTCCTCCAAGATCTTCTTGATCTCATACAAAGGTCTGAAAAATTGTCCCTGAGTCTCTAGATACCCATGGGAATCTGCAAAAAGTACAACTACAGTATGCATTCCCATTCCAACACTATACTTTAAGCCTCTAGAGACCCAGGGATTTCTGAATCTCCCAAGGAAATCGCTACACCAAGAGTCTCAAAGGTCTCTGAAGTGAAAGCTAGGTTCCAAGCAGAAATGCTCTAGGCAAAAACTCCAATGTCAGTCTAATCTAAACCTATGCCACTATATATCCCACTGGTTCTTAAGGGCCTTTGTCCTCTTCAAAGAGAGGCGGCACACCCAAGAGAGTGTGAGTGGCAAAGGATCCCCAAACCAACAACTTTCCCTTGCTCCAAGATGTCTGCATCAAAATCATTCTTCTGAGGCTACAAGTGCCAGGGACAACTAGAAGAAAAGATCAACTTACCTAAACTCATTTACCCAGATCTTATTCTTTAAGCTGCAGAAAGTAAAAAAAAGAGACCAAAAATCAGTTCTAGAAAGCACTGATCCTATTACTTATGATGCAAAAGGCATAAATATCTACCAGAGTATAAAAGAAAGCAATAGTAGTAGTTATATGATCAGTCTGGCACTGATGGAATGTGCCATTCTTGGCATGTCTTTAAAACTGTTATTTATATGAGAATTGCATTAAGCCAATTTTAAAAACACCTTACAGACCAAGAGACGACTGAACTAGAGGCTTTTTTCAGTCCAAAGCAATACTTCAATTGTGAATGACATATGGTGAAGTTAGGCCTCTTTCTTGGAAACTCGTGATTATCATTCCAGCACACCCCTTGTCACTTAAAGTCACTGAGAACTCCTAAAAGAAATCCCACCTGACCAAACTGATGGGAAAGAAATCAGAACACACATTTTCCGAGCATTAAATAAACATTACCCACAATGGGGCCATGTCCTAGGAAGCTACAAAGCTCTTCCAAGGCTCTAAAGCCAAGACAGATTGCTGAGTGTTCCCAGAGCACTGTTCATGACACCACATGTTACCAGAGTCCATTGAATACAGAGTACCCAAGACACTTTGCATATATCATTTCATTCAGTTCTCACAACAAACTTGTAAGAGCAACACCATTATCACATTTTATACAAAGTCAGGCTTTAAAAGGATAATGCACTGCCCCTGGTCAAGCAGCCAGTAAGTGGCAGGATGCAAATTTGAATCCACATTTGTTTTCATCCTAGGACAGGCTGCCTTAGCCTTGAAGCTGACATCTGAATGTACACAATACCTCTCACCTTTTTTTTTCTAGTTTGGGATAATACCCTAAACTTCTGATAGAATCATTGGGCCATAATCTGGCAATTCCCCCACCACTCAGGTCTACTATTTGTAGGCCTTTAACTCCCCTCCGCAGGCCAACTTCAGCAAGCAGTCACCTTTTGGCTATGATCTGCACATAGGTCTTCACCAGATAATCTGAAATGTTTCTTCCCGTCAGGTTCTGAAGGGTGTCAGCAGTGTTCTGTTTCCTCTGTAACCACATAAAAACCAAGCACATCTGTCTTTAGAGACAAGAACTGGGGCAGGACAGGATTTAAAAAAAACTTACAGGGATACATGCTCCTCAACCATGTACCACAGTGAGAGTGGAACCCTGACCACAGGGCTCAGGCACTACCTTAAGCCGTCCACCACCAAGACCTGATCCATTCTCCACTGGGTACTGGACAGTCACTTATACCAAGCTCAGGCCTTCCCCAGGAAATTTTTCTCAACATTTAAACAATAGGCAATGAGCTGGGATCCTTCAGAGTCACAAATGATTTTAGGGACCAGCTTCACAAACTATGCCTAGTGAATTTTTGTATATATCGGAGTCATACTGATGAGTAGGTTAACTATTATAGTGGCAACCAAGACTGATTTAAGTATGCACACACATTTAAAATTGCTGCCCTCATCCTTTAACCTGGAAGCTGAGAAAGCAAGACCCCTGTCAGAAAAAAAGTCTCAAATGTCCTTCTCAAACTCAGCATCTCAGAGAATAAGACCAAAGTTTTCTGGTCTCTTTCCTAATTCAGAGATGAAGAAACAGACCCAGTGAGTTCACATGGCCTGTTGAAGGCCACCAGCTAAGCTGTGGCAAAACCATGGTTAGAAGCCAGTCTTGTAACAGTCTGTCCTATGGTGTCACCCCTGTGGGACAGGCATAGGCACAATATGCTCTAAGTCCCATCTATTCAAAACTCACTTGCTTTTCTCTATAACAAGTAAAATCAAACTGAGATAAACCCTCCTTTCATCACATCTCATCCATTCCTGCTCCCAAGCAGATGCTACCAGCCTACCCTGTACCAACTGTTCAGTCACACCCTTACAGTGACACACCTGTGGAGGTGGCAGCCCTCCTGCTCCTGGGGGACACACAGGCAGCATCTTCTTGATTTTGTCACTGCTGCACTGGCAAGCAGGGGAGGGGTTCTCCATCGTCCAGTTCCCATTTTGGAACAGGTCCATGATGGTCTGGGGAACTGGGGCAGTGGTCCAGTCCTCCTCCCCCACCAAGCAGGGCGTGTCTCTGCAAAGGGAGGACATCAAGAGTAGGGTCATGTGAGAGGGCCTGACCTTTCCTGTTGCCTTAGGAGCACAGGATCATTCTGTAACAACCATAAACATGTACCTATCCCTCACCATTTGGAAAGAATGAGCATGAAAATCATCTTTTTATTATGGAACCAGTATTGGCTTTTGGGACTTACCACCCATTGAGTACTAACTACTAAGTGCCAAGAAATATTTAGTAACTACCTGTTATGATTTATATCTTAAAATGTTCCCCGAAGGCCTATACGCAAAAGGCTTGGTCCCCAGTCTGTGACATGATTGGGAGGTGGTGGAACCTTTAGGAGGTGGGGCCTCATGGAAGGAAGTTAGGTCACTGGGGGCATGCCCTTGAAGGAGATATTGGGACCCTGGCCCCTTCCTTTCTTTTTTTGCTTCCTGACCACCATAATGTGATCAGCTTTGCTCTACCACACACTATGTAACATGAAATTCTGACTTATTACAGGCCAAAAATAGTAGATAACTGACCACTGAACTAAAACTTCTGAAACCATGAACCAGTCACAGTAAATCTTTTTCCTTATGAGTTGATTTTCTCAGGTATTTTGTCACAGCAATGAAAGTGACTAACACATTATCTAGTACTAATTAAGAGCTAACAAGTACATAGCAGCTATCCACTTAGGAATCTGCTCTGGACCTTGTATACAGAGGTATTACATTTGCAGGATCAGCCATCCTTCCCCTTTAAAACAGTGAATTCAAGTTTTTCCTTCTTCAGTTTTCTAACACCTTCCCAAGTTTCCATAATTCCTCAGGTGTCACTGCTTATGGTTTATCAACCTCAGGTGCAAATTCTACCTGCACCTGGAAGTTGAACCCACTTCTACCAGCCTTTAGCTCTCTCATGCTTCTCACCTCTCCACTATCTTCACTACAAAGACCGCCTGACTTGCCTTCTCCTGTACACACAGTTGTATGGGTGTACCACTGAATTTATCTGCCTACTCTATAAAAAATATTCTGAAAGCAAGAAGTATGATGAAAATAAACAACTGTAAAAGAAGAACATGTCCATTCTTATAAAAATCAACATGTCATCTTTTCAGGTTAAGGTGAAGAACTGATAAGCAAAACTGCAAATTTTATAGACAATGGCAGCTCGCTGTGGCATTTAAACACAGGAGTTGGGGGCAAGGAGAGAAGAGGAAAGCATTCGATCAATAGTGCTACTTAAAAACAGGTATCAATGTTCTAAAGGAGTAAACAAATGTTGATAATGATTTCCTCTGCAGGATGTTAGGAAACTTATTTGTTCCAAGATTGTTTGGTTAGTTATTATATTGGCTTTTTGAAACAAAAAGTGACTCAAAATGCAAAAGAATGGTGGTCATAAGGTGGCATGCAGTTGATAAATGCAGTATAACAGACAGCAAACTAGGTGGCAACATATGAAGCCAGCTTCTTGCTAAAGTGTCACTCACAGGATTGGGTTTCCTTCCATACATCGGGTCCCAAAGCCAGGGTCTTTGGTGAGGGCATTCAAGAGTTCCTGGGTGCCCATGTCCTCAGGAGCATCATTGCTGTGGGTACATGAGAGAAGGCCAGCTCAGTAACTCATTCAAACCAGGAAGTGGGAGGCAGAAAAGTTCTTCCAAATAAAACACTCTATTAAGTATTACCTTGGCCCCAAGTTCTTTAAACCAAAGTGAATAAAACACAGAAACCACCTACAAGGATCTCAGATTTTGGCCATATATTTAGCATTGGGGTAACATACAGCACCCAAAGTGGAGCATGTAAAAACAGGTTTTATATATATATATATATATATATATATATATATATGCAGATATGTGTACATGTACACACATACACACATTTACATACACATTTTAATTTGAAGTAAAGAAACACTAAGGATAAGTATTTCAAAGGTATTTACAAAATTATTCACTTGGCACAGACAACCAGGATTTTTCTAAGACAAGACAGGCAGATTTTACTGACAGAGTGGATAAATCGAACATATAAAAAACAATGGTCATAGTCATAAACACGTGCCATATTCTATGGGAAGTGTAAGATCAGTATCTGGAAATGGTGGCATGAATCAAATAGAACTGAACAACTCAAGAGGAAAACATGGGTCAGAGAAAAAGAGACTAATTCATACGGTTCCCCTTCTATCATTGACACACTTTCCCCAACTACAGACCTACAATCTACAAAACTGAAGAAAACTTTTGATAGATCCAGAAATTCCTTTGTCCTTTTGTTTTAAGCATAGGATGGATTATTATTGAATTGAAAGTATTCTTGTCTAAAGATGAATACTAGCTAATATCCTAAATTTAAGAGCATAGATAATAACTATACAAATTGTACTGTACAGAAAACAAAAACTTGGAACTTCTATATTTTGACAGTATATTAAGCCCTGGGACTTTATTATAAAATAAAGCACATGTTTAGAAATCCAAATATTTTATAATTTAATCACAGGTTTCAGCAAGGGCAGATTACCTAAAACACATCGTCATTTCTGACAACAGCAGTGTAAGAAGAGTAGATGAAATGCCCAACAGGGGACTTGCCTATTATTTCAAGGACAGTTCACTGTTACTGTTTGCAAGTAGTAGTAGCTTGTATAGGAGACTGAGCCACAGTAGATAAAATCCATTCTACTGTGGGATTCTTGAGTCCATTCCCTATTCCAGCATAGTAAACACCCTTGGTCTGCTTGAACCCTCTTTTCCCTTAGGGCACAGAAGACAAGCACATACCTGACAAACGTATACTGCTCATTGTACATCCATGGCTGAAGTTCCAGGCTGGGGTACTTGCCAAAGGGTGGCACGATCAGGCTGAACACCAGGGCAATACAGACAAACACAGCTGGCAGGACAATCTACAACCAGGCATTGGAGAAGGTGGACAGACAACAGAAAAAGGTAAGAGTTAAAAGTCCAAGGGATAAGACCTTGCAAATCCAGTCAACTTCCCAGACCAGCCAGCACAGGAATTCAGAGTATAGGGCCCAAAGCTGAGTTCTACCAAGGTATTCGTGGCAGTTGGGAAGCAATGGAGCCTGAAAAGTAAACCTACTCCTTCTAGGACATTACTGGAAGCTAACAGCACAAGGCCAAAGGCTACAGTCATCAAGTGGAAGCATTAAGCTGGGAACTTCAGAGTTAAACAGTGATCCTATAGTGGGATGATTCTGAATGTTGGGTGTTTGCCTTCTTTCCCCTGGAGACTGAGAAAGGCCACACTTGACCATGATGAGTGCTGCTCAGCTCAGAAAAAGGCTGAGAGAACAAGTTGGGGACCAGGAGCCAGAACACATGAATCCTGATTCAGACTCTACTACCATTATATCCTGGGACATCATGTCCCCCTCTAAAGGATGTTCTTATTTGTAATCTGAGGACTGAGAACAGATTCAGATCCCATGCACAAAAAACAACTCTATAGCAATGGCTACTATTAGAGGCAACAGCAGCCACTGTCCCTATAATCAACACAAAAACATAATTATCTAAATTCTCTAGAATCTCCTGAAACTTTCACCCATACATTCTCCAATGACTTCTAGGTACTTTAAAAGTAAACCCAAAGGTCTTTTATTACTGAGAAATTTACCCTTTAAAAACTTAGAGATACAAATGATGACCCTGGTTCTAGTACAGAAAACTATCATAATTCTCCTGGAAAACACTGTAATGAGAATTACCTCATTTAATTATTACTATCCAGCTTTTACATTATTTATGGTGTTATTATCATCACCATCCAAAAATAGACAATGAAGGATCAGGAGATTGAGTGACTTGTTTGTTGTCACGTAGCCAGTTAAGTAACAGAACTAGATTTCAAATCCAGATCTGAATGCTCCAAACTCATGTTCTTCGCATCACCCACATAGTCTATAGGGAAGACCCTCTCTTCCAGACGTTTTCTCTACATTTCTTGATTTTTGGAGCGAAATAATTTTAACCTTTCTAACTAAGCATGCAAACTCTACATGCAAGCATTAGTGTAATGGGTTTCCTGGTTTGCCAGTTATATTCTGAACTCTCTTGCTATCTTTTCTAGCCATTTGAGTTAAACATCAACTTAGACAAAAGTCATGTTTCTCATTGGTTCATGTCAAGTGCATCTCAGCATAACATCTCTCAGGTTACGAGAGTAGAATCTGCCCAACCAGTTTAATCTAGACTTTGTCCCTTTTATGCTCATCTCTAAATTAAAGTCTCTCTCACACACACGCCACTTACTAATGTCAGACCCCATTCTAAATACTTTTTTTTATCCTCTTTACAACCCTCTACTATTATTTTTCCTGTTCTGCAGATGAGGAAATTGAAGCCCAGTTGCCCATAGATGCACAAATGACAAGAAGCAGAACTGGGATAGAACTATGATAATCTAGCTCGAGTATCTGTATCTTGCCCACAATTCTGCCTCCTTTAATCAGGGAGCCTGCATTCAGCCATGGAGCCAGAGACCAGTATATCTCACCTGAGCAAAGAATCCTTTTCTACTCCGTCTGGCAATTAGCAGTCTCTTCCACAAAAGAGCCAAAAACTGTTGCTGTGTGAGTTTCCAGCCCTTCACCTGGTAGGAGCCTTTGCCATCCATCCCACTGAGCAGGTCGGTCTCTCTGGATTCTGCAAGAAATCAACACCAAAGGTCACCTATTTTTTTTAGGTATTGTGAACAAGACCACACTCCTTCTTCTGTTATCTTCAGCAACCATCTTGGAAGCTTGTATTTGAAGCCTGAAGTATGTCACAGAAGTGAAGGGTTTTCATGACAAATCTACTTCCAAGAAAAAAGGTATGACTCAATATATCCTACAGTAGCAGTCTGTGCTTTTCAGTCCTCATCTGAAGAGTACAGAAGAGGAAGGTGCCTGAGACAAGTGAAGACATGTGTTCACACATAATTGGGTGTTATTGTAAGTGATTCAGATGAATCAAGACATTATTCATTTCTTATAGATTATTCTATGAAACAGGCCATGTCTGTAGGCTGATAACATACAATGGCAATTTTTCTCCTTTTATATTTTATTAAAAAGTAGGCAAATTTCAAACAATTTGGGTACTGACAAGTATGAAGTGAGAGAAAACATAAGAGCCACACACTCATGTGACCAACGATTGGTAGAACCAGAAAGTTTTTCACTCCTAAAAAATTACATAGAAATCCTTGCCTTAAACTAATGATTCCTGAGGAGCTTTCATACCTTATCAATTTTGTTTTATTTCTTACCTCCCCTCCAATCGTCCAAAATATCTGTATCTAAGGACACAATTAACACTGAAAGCAAATTCTTCTCTCTGACTCTTTCAAAAGCATTCTTCCATGCAATTAATATTCAATCATTAAACACCTTATGTATACAAGAAACTGGGAACCATCAGAAAAGACAATAAATAAATGGGTTTGGAGGATCAAGGAGCCATCTATGTGTATTTAGTGGAGTAGTATCTCCACTAAATAAAAGAAGTGATAAGGACAGGCTCTTTCAGGTTTGACCAGACATATAACACCAGAAAAGGAAAAGTGGCTTTTCTCATTTTTTCACTTCCTTTTGGACCCTGTAGGGATCTATCATTTTCACTAAAACATATCAAAAGGAAACAGCTGAGAAGAACATAAAAGAGAAACCCACAGTCAAATAGTAGAACAAAGATCTTGCCCAAACGAACCTGGGTCTATGTCAGAGTCATTCGGATCAATAGCATCATCTTCAGTGAATGGGCGAAGACAGCTCTGCTTGTCCCCAAAGGCCCACCTGTTTCGTCTTGCTGGCAAGGTACCATCTGAAAGCAAAAAGAAGGGATCCAACTTTTTATTGGCAACAAAACAAACTTTCCTCCACCTGTACCAATATACACACTAAAAATGAAACTACACTAGAACGCAATAAGAAAAGTACAATGGTGCCGTCGAAGGTACTATCCAAAGAATGAACAGTCCCCTCAAGAGGGTTACCTGAAGTCTCAGCGTCCACCCCACTCTCTTCAGCCACTTTGAGAAATATCTGAAAAGTAAGAGGAGATGACAGGATAAGCATTAACTTGAGAGTAGCCATCCCTACCATGAGTACGTCATTGAGTTGCCTGATATCCCTGTGAAACAAAGAAGGTGGAAGACACATTTACTAAAACTTCATCAGAGTCACTCAGGAGTGATGCTATTTTTGCCAGAAAACATTTTCTCAGAGGTGAGAGTTACCAATCCAGATATCCTTTTCAAAATAAAAGTTATGACAAAATTGGAGAAGAGGGCAGAAGGGGAGAGAGATGGCCCAAACAATGTATGCACATATGAATAAATGAATAAACAAAAAAATATTAAAAACTAAAAGTTGTGACATTAGAACAGTACAGAAGAAATCTGTTCTGAACCCACAGGGAATGAGGTAAATGGCTTCTTTTAGGTCTGTGGCTCCAAATCTTTAGGTAGGATATACTATGGTAAGTTATTCAAGACAGAATGGTCAAGAGGAAATAGATGGCCAGGCACCAGTAGTTCATGCCTGTAATCCTAGCCACTCAGGAAGTAGAGATCAGGAGGATCACAATTTGAAGCCAACCCAAGCAAACAGTTTGTGAGACCCTATCTTGAAAAATCCCACCACAAAAAAACGGGTGGTGCACTGGCTCAAGGTGTAGGCCCTGAGTTCAAAACCAAGTACCACAAAAAAAAGAAGTAAATATTATGGCAGAGATTCAAATATCAAAGGAGAATCTAAATGAGATCAATAATTTCCAAAGTAGTTTGTAGACCACTGAATGGGAAGCATGCAATAGCAATATGAACTTTAAGGCCAACCTTCAGAAATTCTGATTCAAAGGCACTAGAGCTGAGCCTTAGAATCTTCATTGTCAGTAATATCCCCAAACAGTTACCACACAAGCTATCCTGGAGACCATCAGGTGACGCAACTTTTACATCCCTTCCCGCCCTCGAGTCTGTGATGCTGTGTCTCCAAGGTAGGAATTGCTACATGGTAAAGAGAGCATGGGCTTTGCAGTCCCAAGCGAATCCCAGGTCAACATCCCTCACTATTGACTCTCATCTTCTTATGAGGATTAAATGAGATTATAATGATTAAAACAAAACAGAAAAACCATCAAGCTCAGCACTTAACCCAGTGAACTATAAATGTTGATCATTTTATTTTATGAGAGTCTAGTTGACACTTGGTGGTGACACAACCACACCAGAGAACAATCCCAATATTTCTTTCCAGCTGTTTCCCACTAGGATCCTTCCTAAATGGTTCACTGGGGCCAACATTACCCAGCTATCAACAACCTGAAAGTTCAGGGATGATGCCACATAATCCTATTTGTGGTACAGGCTGCCTATCCAGCCTCGAGATTGTTGGTGCTGCTATCTGAGCTTACTTCTTCTAGGGTAGTCTCGGAAATGCCATAACTGGAGATGCCGAGGTCTGACAGCCGGTCATCAATCTCATGGAAGAGTTCCACAAAGGCTCCCTCCTTAGCAGCTTCATATGGTAGCACATAGGTCAGCTCATGCCCAATGTCTTCCACTAGTCGGGCTTCAGAAACATGCTTCCTAATGAGGCTGGAGATAGCAGACACATCTGTAGGGGTCAGAGTACAAAGATATCCTGGTCAGCTCAGGATTCTCAGAAGCCCACTGTCCTACATGCTCCAAGCCATTCCACCTTTGGCTCCAAGCCATTCCAAATCTTTGGCTGAAGAACTCCAGGGGGAGGAAGGACTGTCTCTGATTCACCTTTATATCACCAAAGCCAGACTTGCTGTAGGTACTCATGCATGAGGGATGGATACATGCAGAGATGACTTGCTGAAGTTGAAAGACTGCTGTCTATTGCATATGTCCTAGGATTCTTCAATGAATAAAGTATCCATAAATATTCTTTACCTTTCCCTAAACTTTCAAAGGAGGCTACCTACGATTTACCTCAATTGAGAGCTAATCAAACAGTTCATGGGGGCAGTCTTCCTGAAGCCAGCTGTTGGGACTAGGCAGAGATAGCCAGGGTCAATATTTCTCTTCCATATGCTACTGTTGATACTGGTCTCCCATACACACCACTGAGGAAAGCCTGCAAGGCTGTTCCTTATTCCTGGGTTCTCACCCTCCTATGCTAAGCTCAAATCCCTCCCTGCTGGCTTGGTTCTCAGCTCCTTGTCCAGTGCCCAGCCAGATCCACTCCCATAAGGAATTCCCCAAGTCCCAATCATCTCCATTCTTAGGGGCACTGCCCTGCCAGCTCCCAGACCAAGCCCCAGGCTCCCCAGCAAGCATTAGGCCAACCCGCCACCAAGCTGCAATCGCTCCCACAGCCACCCAGCCCAGCCCAGCAGCAAACCTTGAGTCAGCGCCAACAGCCTCTGCACCTCGCCTCCTCTGCCTCCATTCTGCCCAGCTGGGGGAAGCTCAGGCACCACCTGAATAAGAAACCCCAGAGTCCTTACCGATGGTCAGCGTGTCACTTTCATGGTCACTGCCCAGGCCAGCATCAGAACTGCTCTGAGAAACACTGTCCTCCTGATGGCAAAGAAGGAGGTGAGAATGGGTCAGGGACCGAGCAAGGTATAGACACCACCACCTTCGCCGGGAAGTGCTTCCAAGAAGCTCCATTGTATAAGAGCTGTTCCAAAAAAAAAGCTTTTCCTGGGACACATGCATCTGGCAGACAGGGCTTCAGAGGCCACTGTCTTACATGTGTGTGCCTTGTGGACAGCCTTGATTCCTGGGATAAGAGGTCAGGAAGCAGAGCTATCAACAGAATGGAGGCCTGCCAATAAATGCTGCAACCAGGGATTTACCTGGCTACTTGCCCAGTTTAATGTTTCCTAAGCTTTAATGTGTGTTTACTCAAGGACCTTATTAAAATGCAGATTCTAACTCAGTAGGTCTAAATTGGATCCAGGTTGCACCATGTCGAACAAGTTTCCAAGTGATCCTAAGGCTTCTGATCCTCAAACCACACTTTAGTGTGGAGGCTCTTGTTAAAAGGTAAATAATGGATCCAAGTTAAGGTTAGGAATATGAATGTATTAGATGTTGCTGGTTTCAACACACAACTAAATGTCAGGCTTATCCAATGGTAGAGAGCATATCCAATGGTAGAGAGCAAAACATATCTGGTTATTGGGTAACAGTCTCACCCGTTACTTGTTGGGTGACTTTGAATAAGCTACCAAATCCCTCCAAGTTTCACTTCCCTCATCCAGGATAATAATCATGATAATGTCTTCCCACTGTTGCTCTGCACTTTGAGATATTAAGTGTAAAAAATGCAAATGCAACAGAAAATGAACTATTATCATTATTTTCTTTTATACCCAGAGTCTGTGTGGCATGAAATTGGTGCTTAATAATATTTGATGCTTTGTAGTTTAAAAGTTAAGGTCAATAAGTTTTAAAAGTAAAGGGCAGGAATGGCAGGGCATTTTGTAGCCAAGGCTCTTACCTCTTGGCAAGTCTCTTTTCTTTGCCACAATAAAATCCTCAAAGGCCTTTCTCCATCACTTACTGTACTTCCATAGGAAAAATGAAGTGGGATGCACCAGAACTAGCACAATGGGAAGAGAGGTCTCCTGAGCTTTCCACAGAGGAGGTATGATGCCTTCCAATAGGATCACAGAGCAAGGAGATGGTGGCCACTACTTGGCAGAATGGGGCAGAAGTGGACAATCCATCCACAGTCAACAAATCCCAACTGCCCAGACCCAGCACCTGCCCAGCCCTGAGACTGCAGCTCACCTTTTTCAGGTATGATACAGTGCTGCTGCTATTTCTGCAGGAACTAAGGGAGGATTCCACATCTTTCTTCACCAAGGTCAGGTAGTAGCCTGTTCCCAGCTGGTTTTTGAGAAACAGAGAAGAACCCACACAGCACAGCTTTCCATGGGAAATGATAGCAATCCTGTCTCCCAAAATGTCTGCTTCATCCATGTGGTGTGTAGAGAGAATAATGGTGCGGCCTACGAGGTACAAACACAAGGATGTGATAGATAAGGCCTGTCAGTTGTCACTGATCATAGTGGCAGGGACTACAGAGATCATGGGGTAAGCATAAGAGAAAGACTTGGGAGTGGCTGTGCCCACTAGGATGGTGAAGCTTAGGGTGCAGCCACTGACCATTATTTATTTATTTGGGAACTGCTACATGCCAAGTGGTATGTTAGATAGTTTATAGGCATTCTCAGTCCTCTGTGAGGTAAGCGCAATTACTATACATAAGGAAACTGAGGCAAGTTAAGTGACTTTCCCAAAGTCTCATGGCCAGCTGGAGCTGGCACCAAAATCTGTACCTCTCACACCACAGCACAGTTCTAGGTAGATCAACAATTATGTCTCTGCACCTCTCTCATTCCATTCGTTTATTCACTTTTTTTTTTTGATGGGACTGGGGTTTGAACTCAGGGCTTCATGCTTGCTAAGAAAGCACTCTGCCACTTGAGTCACTCCACCAGCCCTTTTTTTGTGGTGGGTATTTTTCAGGTAGGGTCTGGTGAACTATTTGCCTGGGCTGGCTTCAAACCATGCCCCTCTCGTTTTCTACCTCCTGAATAGCTAGGATTACAGGCATGAGCCACTGGTACCTGGTATTATTCACTTTTTCAACAAGCATAAATTTAATGCAACAAGTTAGGGACAAAACAAACATAACCAGGTAACATAATCATGATACACATGTGTCATTTCTGTTCTTCTTGCAACCCCTAGATAATGAAGCAAAAGTTTTCACTGTCTTGCAAACCAAGCCTCCCACCTTCATACCATGGGCAGGCACTGAGCTCTAAGAAAAGAAATTCCATGTTTCCATTGAGAAGCAATTCTGTTGACCTAGCAAGACTAGCCATGACACTATTCACAATAGCCAAGTTATGGAAACAGCCAGGATGCCCCAGCACTGACGAATGGATTAAGAAAATGTGGTATCTATACACAATGGAATTTTATGCAGCCATGAAGAAGAACGAAATGTTATCATTCACTGGTAAATGGATGGAATTGGAGAACATCATTCTGAGTGAGGTTAGCCTGGCTCAAAAAACCAAAAATCGTATGTTCTCCCTCATATGTGGACATTAGATCAAGGGCAAACACAACAAGGGGATTGGACTATGAGCACATGATAAAAGCGAGAGCACACAAGGGAGGGGTGAGGATAGGTAAGACACCTAAAAAACTAGCTAGCATTTGTTGCCCTTAACGCAGAGAAACTAAAGCAGATACCTTAAAGCAACTGAATCCAATAGGAAAAGGGGAACAGGTACTAGAGAAAAGGTTAGATCAAAAAGAATTAACCTACAGGAACTAGAGAAAAGGTTAGATCAAAAAGAATTAACCTAGAAGGTAACACCCACACACAGGAAATCAATGTGAGTCAATGCCCTGTATAGCTATCCTTATCTCAACCAGCAAAACCCCTTGTTCCTTCCTATTATTGCTTATACTCTCTCTACAACAAAATTAGAAATAAGGGCAAAATAGTTTCTGCTGGGTATTGAGGGGGGAGGAGAGGGAGGGGACGGAGTGGGTGGTAAGGGAGGGGGTGGGGGCAGGGGGGAGAAATGAACCAAGCCTTGTATGCACATATGAATAATAAAAGAAAAATGAAAAAAATAAAAAGACTAGCCATGAGAATCTACTATACTTCTGTCTCTCAGCCCAAGACTCAGAATAAGTAACCTACCTTGTCGGTATTTCAGCAGCAGTTCCCATATTCCCCTGCGGGAGTAAGGGTCCACACCAGCTGTGGGTTCATCCAGAATAACAACCTTGGATCCCCCCACAAAGGCCAAAGCCACAGACAGCTTTCTCTGCATCCCACCTACAAGAACACACAGAGAGACATGCTCCAGGACCAACCCTAGATGGTGAATGAAGGCAGAGTTGGTCAGAGATGAAGAGAGGCACCCACCTGGGGACAAAGCCAGAAGCAAGTTTCTGTCACCCACCCATGCAGTCTGGGACCCTGGGTAGCTTTTCTTCTGTGCATGTGTGGTTGGAGGAGGAGGGCAAGGAAGATGGGGAAGGTACCCAAGGCTTCACCTGACAGCTGACTTGTTTTGCTTTTCAACTTGCTGGGTGGCAAACCAACATCCAGGGCCATCTGCTCCATCTCTGCTTTCACATGCTTCTCTGACAGCCCCTTGAGGCGGGCATAGAACCAGATGTGCTCTTCCACAGTCAACCTGGGGACAGACAGTCAGTCAGCTCAGGACCTTGCAGGATGCATCACAATACACTATCTCTGGACCCAGAAAAGAAGAGAACGGGCACATTTTCTTCTCCCTCACCCCACTCCTGCCTTAAAAAAATTTTTTTTATCTATTTCTAAACAAGAACTAGAAGGAAGGATTCAAAGCAGAACAGTGATCAACAACACAAGCTACTCAGGACACCAAAGCTAAAACGTAACAGAACATTTCCAACCTATTCCCAGCAGGCCTGGTCACCAGGCATCAGACAGTTGCCAACTTTAAATTCCAGGTCCTCAAAGGGGCTCACCCTATAATCACACCAACCAAGTCAACTCATCATTAGCTTGGAGTATCCCTTCTTAACTCCAAAGGATCTCAGGCTCTGAGAGAAGCGAGGCTCCTGGGGAGCCCAGAAGCCCATACTTCTCACTTTAGATGAGAGGAAATTGAGGCCCACAAGGGGAAAGGCTTTGTCCAAGGTCACAGAGCTCAGGTCTTCCTCTGTTCCATCACGAGGCCTCCTTAGAGACCATACTTACTGATGGACAACCTGAGTGAGAGCAAACGCCTTGAGCAAACCATAGAAACATTGTACCAATCACTCTTAGGCACTGCCAGGTCTGGAAGGTACTGTACCCAGGTACAGGCCTTGAGGAGAAGTGCAGTAGGGGAGAGGATGGGCTAAAAGACTCTTCAGAATGACAATAAGGGAGATCCCTGTTTTCTGAGCCCCGGCAGCCAACTGAACTAATGTAGCTTTCCCACCCAACAATTCACCTCCCCTCTTCCCAAAAATCAAAGAACAACTAGGTCTCAATGTGTCCAGGGATATAAGACTTGTCATACCCAAAAAAGATAAAACATCCAAGTCCCACTCCCTCCATGTCTTCTACATCCACAAAGGGAATGCTCTTCTCACTGTGCTACTGATACTCACATGTCAAACAGCACATTATGCTGGGGACAGACCCCCAGGTTCTGCCTGATGCTGCTCATCTCAGAACGAATGTCCTTCCCCAGGATGTAGGCAGTGCCAGAGGTAGGAGGGAACAACCCAGTCAAGATTGACCTGAGAACAACATTAACAAGTGTGAGAGTCGGGGATAACCTACTCTCACCACTAGACACTGCAGAGGGCAGGAAGAGCAAAAGACATCAACTCCTCACCCTATTTCCTTCTAATGGACCTTAGCAGATCCCCACAAGCACTTTTGCCTTAGTGAATAGCTACGATTGGGCCTATGTGTTTGAAATGAAAAATTTAAAATGAGTATTTGAAAAATGAAATCTCCAATTTGCAATGGACTTTGTACTTTAAAATATGTTTTGTATGTCTAATATCATGTCCATAAAATGAACAAACAAGAACATATTTTAAAAGACAAAAATATGGCAGGAGGTTAGGATTTTTTTAGTATCTTTTAAAAATGTTCAGCAATGTTCATGATGTATTAATTTTATGTTGAAAAACAAGAAAAGAGTATCTATTCCAAAGATCTACCCTTTGGAATGGCTGAAAGCCACACTGAAAGCCACTGAGGCTAATATTGTATGGCCCCTGGTCCCTTCTGAAGCTGCCAGGTTAAGATTCTCATAGGCCCCAGGGAAGACAATGGGATCCCACTGCCAGTGCTTCTCACTTCTGCTCGGAGACAAGGATTGCTATCTCCCTTCAACATATCTTTTGTTCCAGATTCATGCTTCATATTCCTGACCAAACCAGCTCTAAAAGGGACCCTTTTTCAGAGCTGTTATGGCCTTGGGTTCCAAGAACATTGAACAATTCTGAGAATAATAGGGATAAAGGTCATCAAAAGGCCCTGGCCTGCTTTAGGATAAAGAAAAAATATCTAACAAAAAGCAGAATTTGGAAAGCATGCTCACAATGAGATAACATGTTTCCTCTCTTCACCTCCTCAAGGTCTCCACCCTTCCCCCAGAATGTTCCTGTGGGAGGTTCTATTTGGGCCACACCCTCTTCTTACATAGTGGTTGTCTTTCCTGCTCCATTATGGCCCAGGAAGGAGGTGATCTGGCCCTCATAAAAATTCAGTGCTAGGCCATCAACAGCCACCTTCATGCCATCTCGGTAAACCTTCACCAGGTTCTGAATGGATACACCCAGTTTCAGGTGGGTGGGTTCCTCCTCCATGCAGACTGTGAGAAAAGAAAGGAGACTGTTAGGAACTCGCAGAAAATTCTGATGATTGGAATGTAAAGACAAAGGGGGCTAAGCTCAGACTTATAAAAATGTCTTCTGTCCATGGACACTCTGGTTTTATGGGCAAGCAAGAGGCTATAAATATTTACTAAGGGGTTATTTGGGCATTGGTGTCAGTGGTGGGAATTAAATGATAAGGGAACATTTACAGTCTATGGAGAGAGATTTAACAAGCAACTAAAATATAGGATGCTAACAGCTGAATTTTTTTGTTTTTTTGATGATACTGGGGTTTGAACTCAGGGTTTTGAATTTGCTAAGCAGGTGCTCTACCACTTGAACCATACCTCCTGCCACTGACACCTGTCTTTAAAACACATAAGAAATGCCATGGAAGCATGGTACATCTATACCATGGAATATTACCTAATAAGGAAAATGAATGAACTGTTGATACACATTGCAACTTGAAAAGATTTCTAGAGAATTAGGTTGAGTGAAAAAAGTCAGTATCGAAAAGCTATCCACTATGTGGTTCCATTTCCATAACATTCCAAAAATAACAAAATTATAAAAATGGGAACAGATGAGTGATTAACAGGTGTCAGAGAATGGAGCGGAAAGGAGGTGGGCAAGACTAGCAGAAACATAAGGAAGCTTCGTGATGATGGAACAGGTCTGCATCTTCCCTGAGCTGTTGATTGCATGAATTTACACACATGGGAAAAACCACATAATGAAATAAGTACATGTAAAAACCGGAGGAATCAGAAGTCTATGAATTGCACCAATGTCAGTTTCATGGTTTTGAAACCATACTGTAGTTACATATGATGATACCACTGGAGGGTGGGGAGAGCAGAAATAAATGAAAGGAACGAATAAACCCCTCACACAATTGCTTAGCAACTTCTTGTGAGCCTATGACTATTTTAAAATGAAAGTATTTTGTGTTCATTTTGTATTGTTTTTGCTCAGGGAAAGGAGTAACTGACATTCTGAGAATCTAGGAGGAGGGGTTACTGAAGCAGGCACTGAAAAGTGAGGAGGAATTGAGAAGGAGATGAGCAGGAGGAAAGGCTCTCCCATGGAGGAGATGTGAAAGAACAAGACATGTTTCAGCACCCATGAGCAGTTCTGGTTGTCTGAAACAGGAGCTGGATGCAGAGAAGCTGTCAGAAGGAAGAATAGAAACAGTAGAGGAAGCAACAGAACAGTGGGCAAGGGTGCCATGCTAAGAAGCATTGTACTTTTATCCCTAGTGGTTAAAGGCACAGAAGAGATCAAAAAGAAGGACCTACTAACTACTTAGGAAGGAAGTACATTGGACAAGAAGACTTGAATAGAGAACGTGGAAAGTGGAATCTTTACGTGGAAAGTGGAATCTTTACTGAACTGTGGGCATCTCTACCTGCAATCAGGAACCAGAAGATATTTGGGGCTCTGGATAAGGAAGGGTATGCTCAGGCTGAAATCTACAGCATCCACTTGGTGCCAGCCTACACCAGCTCTTACACAGATAACTATGACAGGCAGATAGCAAGGCTAGGACTCCACAAAATCATGGTTACCTTTTGTTCTTCCCACTAGCTGTTTTAGGTCAGCATGATAGCACAAGAGGGAGGAGGTAAAGGTACAGTAATCAAAGACACTTTCTTATAGGACAAGGAAGCAAAGATATGTTCCTAAGGACCCAGCACTGGACATGAGAGAATTTGGACTGGGTGCACTGCATCTCATGTCTCTGCCCCTAGAATAGCTTTAGAATCTTTTCAAGTACAGCAGCCATTCGTCCCCTGTCCCCAACATAGGAGGAACAGCTGTTCTAGGTTTATGTGTGAGGGCAAGTCAGCAGAACTTACTTTCTGATAGTCCCTTCTGGCTGGAACCAGGGTGGGTCTTCTGATCAAGTTCCTCACCAAACCAATAGGACTTGGTGCAAGGAAAATACCAGGGCCTGGGAATTCCATACTGACCTGAAAGCATAGCACATGTGTGACCCCAGTATTCCTGAAGTTTCCCAACGAGACCTACTGCCTCCTTGACACACACTTTAAAGAAATAACAGACTAAAATGGAGGTGGGGAAGAGGGAGCTAACCTTTGCTAAAACCTACTATTTATGTCATACATTCTGCACCTCTCTGAGGCCTCTCAACCACCTCAGGACACAGGTACCAATCTCATTTTATAGATTAGCAAAATGAGGGCTAAGCATCCTACACAAGGTCACTCAATCAGTAAATTAAGGACTTGAATTTGAATCTAGATCCATATGATGCAACACTGCATATTCAACAAAGGAGGTATAATAAACATCTCATATACACCATCTCAGAGAACTAGAAGGCAAGCCAAATTGAGTTAAAATTCACTGTCACAGCCATTGATCTTTTATGAAAATTTATCCCAAGGCAGGTTAGTCTTGAATTTGGTCAAGAAGATTTATTAAGAAAAGTATCAAAATGAGTTTTTATTAAAGATTAATTTTATTTAAATCACAGGCAAGGGCTTTCATTGTATTATTCAAAACCTGTAATCAGAAAACAGTGCTTCCCCCAGGAAGTACAAATTTGAGTCAGAATTGGGAGGAATCCTCTGGATTATTGACCAAACAACTGTCAAGTTGCTCTCATAGTGCCTTTCACATTCTGAAAGGCTATTCCTACTCTGTATGAGGGATGGAAATGTTCAAGTCAGGGATCTATGGGAAGAGGAGACACCTACTCCTAAGTCTTGTCCAGTTCAGAAAGTAATACTTAAGCAAAATACCATATTGGACACAGCTGGGTTTTCTTTACCCAACTATATGCACCTCCAAGCTGCAACACTTAATAGTCGTGACCTCGGGCACATTGCTTAACTTCTGCTAGACACAGTTCTTTCATTTGAAAATTTCTGGTTCTAATAGTAAAGACTTCAGAACATTCTTTTCAGGATTAAACAAATCAAAGTATATAAAACAGTTTGCACTGGCACTCAGGGCTCAAGAAATGAATGCCATAACAATAGTAACACATCAGCTGCCTTTCCTTGGACTATCTGTCTGCCATGGGCCTGAAGTCCAAGCTACTTTCCAGGGAGCCTCCATGCCCTGCAGAAATTCCAGAAAGAAATGAAGGATCTGCAGCCAGAAATCATCTTTCCCCACCACTTAGCCAAAGTCGTACCTGGAAAGACAGCCTCGATGTACCATGTCATCACACCATAGAGGAAGGTGTCAAACAGCATCATGGAGACGGCAGTGGTGAGATTGAAGCCATCTTCCTCCACAGGGCTCTCAAAGAGGTTGTCCCACTGCACCCCAATACCTTGCTCCTCAAAAAGAGCAAAGTACTCACAGCCAAATCCAAAAGCCACAGGAGAGAGCAGGCTCTGAGAGAAAGAGGCAAAAGTTATTATCTATTTCCTTGATTCTCTCATTTTCCTACCACTTCTAATGTAAATTCCACCTGGTGAAATTTGAATTTGTAAAATAGATCAATTACATAGGATATGTAAGTATTCATCTACAGAGTCCTTTTAAGGGCTCCCTTGCAGCATATAAAACAATTTCATTTATAACCACTCATACGCACACACATTTCAGAAAAGCATGCATGAGAGCATGTAAAACTTGCAGAATTATGCTTTTAGAGTTGTCCCAAGGTTCAGCAATCCTGTCCCTACCACTGCCCCCCATACTGACATTCATTAAGGTCTTTTCATGCTCCCTGCTCAGCCAGTGAATATTCAGGATCACAGGAGTATATTTTGGACTGCTTATGTCTAGGGGACCCAGACTGAGGGACCTAAAGAGTTAGCATCTCATAAGTGACCCAGGGGAAAGCTGACAAATTGCTCTCAAACCCTCAAAAGTCACTGCTACTTTGCAAAAGGAAAGGATATGTCCAGTCAGAGATTATTGGGAAAATAAGTCTGCTCCTCAGACTTGTTAAATTCAGAAAATATTACTTTAGGGCTGGGGGGAATGGCTCAAGTGGTAGAGTACCTTCCTAGCAAGCATGAGGCCCTGAGTTCAAGTTCCAGTACTGCCAAAAAAAAAAAAGGAAAACACCATACTGGACACAAGAGTTAAGAATGAGCCATCTCTAATCTCAAGAGCTTTCAGTTATGTCTGTGGCTATGACTTTGTAGAGAGCTTAACATGGCCAAAAGAACTGGGAGATAATGTGTGGAAATGGGATTTATAGTCTAAAGGCATTCGCCAGTGCCATTTATCCCACCAGGTTCAAGGAAAAGTTTATTCCATTCCCTGTAACCAGCACTCATCAAGAGTGTTAAAGATAAATTTAAAATGACACAATCCTGCCTTCAAAGACCACAGAGTCTAGGAATGAGGACCAAATCTCATTAGAAGAAGACTCTCAACTTCTGTTCTCAACTTGCTGCTTCTATTTACGGACTGCAGAGGGTAGGTCAGACACCTAGGGTAGCTGTGACAGCAACTGCTGCAGAAGAGCCAGAGTTACTCACCGCAAAGATCTTAACTGTGAACCCCACATAGTCCTGCCAGGCCACGCACAGGACATAAGGCAGGTAGAGCGTGAAGTAGATGATGCCCCCACAGGCTGCTGCCAGGTTGGCCCGAGAGAAGAGTGTGCTTATCAGGAAGCACTGCAGGATGGTCACCGTAGCAAACACAGACAAGAAGACAAACACCACACTGGGATCACTGTAAGGCAGCAGGTTTCCTAACTGGGAAGGAAGAGGCCCATTAAAAGTGCTGCTTCAACAAGCACAAGTGTTCACTTGTATGTTCTATGGAAAAGAGTTTATTCATACTCAGAGATGATGCAGAGAACTAATGCTCAGTTTTCTGATGAGGAAACTGAGGCCAAGAGAAATGACTAACTCAAGACAACACAGAAAAATCATGGCAGAAATAGGAACAGAACATAGCCCAGGGCTTTCTATTACACCTCAATGGACAATTTTGCTCTCTGTTTCTCAGATAGGTAATAGTAATGGGTATCTCCTTTTATAAGACTATGACACTTGCCACCCAGAAAGAGTTGTGTGAGATGATGTCCCACATGACTTTTCTCTCCAAAAGTCAAGGAGAATGGTAACCTAAACTTTCTCCTTGATAACCATGACTTGTTCATCCTCACAATCAACTAAACTCTTCTGAATATTCCAAGATCATCATTTCAAGCCACTGTACATTTATCAGCAGCACCACCCCCAGTATAGAGCGGTCCCCAAGCAGCTTTCACACACCAACCAGAGGACCACTGCCCTTGCCACATGGCTAAGCCCTTTGCAGTTAGACACCAGAAGATGAGGGAGGGGGTTGTTTTTAGAAACAATCGCATTTATATCTTGGTTCTCTCATCCTGTGGTGTAACTTACTGAAGATTTGACCTTCCTCAGCTTCTTTTCCTTGAACATGAAATAGGTTATTTAGTGAGGATATAAGGCAGCCCATAAGATGTGCTTTAAACAGTGGTTGGCATAAGTAAATGCTCATTTGTAACAGATGGTAGCTAGTGTTAAAGTGAATGTTAGCCCCTATCCCTTTGCACTCTCCCTGTCTTTGAAAACATTTATTTATTTATTTTTATTTATTTCATGCCTATAATCTCAGCAAGGAGGCAGAGGTAGTAGGATCACAGTCAAAGGCCAGTCTGGGCAAAAGTACATGACCCTATCTGAAAAACAAACTAAAATTTAAAAAGCTGGAGGTATGGCTCAAATGGTAGAGTGCTTATGTAGCAAGCACAAGGCCCTGACTTCAATCCCTAATACCACCACAAAAAAACCAAAAATTCAGAAAACATTTATTTTTACATGATGTGTCTATATATGAAATAATTATTGAGAAGTATATTAAACATATGGGTCAAAGAGAACTGCACTGCCCAGAAACTGTTTTAAGGGAACACTTATCTAGCTGTCAGCAGACAGCCTCTGATACCAACATCTCTGGGTTTTTTACAGCTACAGAGCTGCCTGGCCCTGGAGCATACCCTTCTCAGGGGGCCTCACATCCAATGATCGATTGAACAGTATAGGGTAGGGAGATGTCAGGGACGAAGGCCACAGGGCAGCATAAAGTGCTGGACCTTTCAGCTCAGTGATAACCTCCAGAGTGCCCTGCATCAACTCCTCCCACTGCCCAATCCACATCCTCCACAGGTGTGGATGCTAATAAATACCCACATGCCAAGCTCTGTCAAAGACTCTGCTTCCACGCAATCTAACCTACGACAGCATATGTCCTTCTGATGATCATTTTTAGAAACTTGCAAAGAATCACCACCCAAAAGATCTAAGGATACAGACAGCTGCACTGTCAAGCAAACAGAGTGGCACTGTTAAATGAGTGCTTATCTGGAAAGCATGAGCCCTGGGTTCTAGTCCTGCTTAGCTATTAACTAACTGGGTTGACCCTGGGCAAGTCACTGCCTCTCTCTGGGCCTCGCTTTTCCCAACTCTGAAATGAGGAAGTTACAGATGACATGTAAGTCCTCTTCACTCTCAGAATCCCAGCTTTTCTTCTCTTCATTTAGCTTATACTGGGCTGTTAGTAGTTGCCTAGCAGAAGAGAGAAAGAAGGGTTGCGTTACCTTCAAGATGACCACCAGCAGGCCAGCACTCACAAGCAGAGGGATGAGGCTACTGATGAACCAGCTAAACCAGAGGATTCCATTGTCCAGGCCCATGATCCTCATGGTCTCCTTCAGCCGTGCCTCCTTCTCATACACAATACCCTTGATGATCACAGCCACAGAGTAAATCCAGGCCAGGGTCATAAAAAGGGGCATTGAGCGGCTCATCACCCGTAGGAAGCTGAAGACACCAGGGAAGGGCAGAGGAAGAATGAGACATGCATAAGCCAGGATCATAGGCCAAAGCCTCTGAGTCTCCATGCTAGAGGAATTGCCACATTTGGGCCACTAAGGGCAGGCCCTCTGGACTCCAAAATACACAGGTTACCAAATGCTTCATAATACTTTGATAAAAGATTTTTAAAAAACTAAGCTGACAAAGTATTGCCAAACAAAATGTCTTTGGGGCCTTGCTTTAGTAACTAGATGACATCTAGCTACATGTGGGTTACTTTAAAGTACTAAAACCCAAAGCTAAAAAAAAACATGTAACTCAATCTCTCACAAAAGCTCCTATCTCCTAAGTCATTTAAATATTGACTTGCTTAGTTAAACTCTGATCACAGTGCAGAAATACATTTCAGGAAGCTCTTACCAGTAGTATTTCATATTCTAAACTAGAACAGGAAATGCAGTGATGCAAAGTAAAAAGGACACAGATTTTGAACCCTGAAAGTTGAGGTTCAAGTCCCAGTTTTGCCACTATGTGTTTACTTACTACATAACAATAGGCAAAGGCTCTGAATGCCTCTGAGCTCCAGTGCCCTCATCTCAGCACATCCTTTCCAGAGTAAGCCTTGGCTTAGGGGTCTTTGGAAGTGTTTCTTTGGAAAATTCTGGGCAATCATTTTGAAGGTAAAAAACAGATGCAGATACTTTAAAGTTACAGAGGCCAATAGGAGAAGGGGACCAGGAACTAGAGAAAAGGTTACTTTGAGAAGAATTAATTTAGAAGGTAACACACATGTACAGGAAAGCAATGCAAGTCAACTCCCTGTATAGCTATCCTTATCTCAACTAGCAAAAACCCTTGTTCCTTCCTATTACTGCTTATACTCTCTCTTCAACAAAATTAGAGATAAGGGCAAAATAGTTTCTGCCTGCTAGCGAGGAGGTGGGGGGGGGTGGGAGGGGCAGGGGAGGTAAGGAAGGGGGAAGGAGGGGCAGGGGAGATAAGGAAGGGGGTGGGGGAAGGGGGGAGAAATGACCCAAACATTGTATGCACATATGAATAAAATAAATAAATAAATAAATAACAGAATTGGTGGCCTAAAAAGTTGTATACACACACACACACACACACACACACACACACACACAAAGAAAAACAGAATTTTCAGAATTTGGAAGAGACATCACATATTTGAGATTCTTGCAATAACTATACCTTTACTCATTCTCCCTCACAAGAAATCATTAGCTCCAAATGCACAGTTCCCACAAGAACTTGACAGTTTAGTGACTTAGCCTTATAAAAGACTATAAAAAGTCTAAGATAAGGAGGTTTTGTTCAGTTTCATTTGCACTACTTCAACAATCACTTCAGAGAGGAAATGAACAAATTTACAAGTCTACATTGATGTTTCTGAGTTTGGGAGTATGTGCATATATGAACTTATATGCGTTTGTCATGGTATATTTCAAGCTGGCAGATTGGGCAAATTTAAAAGGGGTAGCATGTAAAAAATAAAACAGGCAGTAACAAAGAATAAAAAAGGAGGGAGAATTACTAGTGGGTGCACATGTGTGTCTGTCTGCAATGTGGACAATACTGTTGATCACCAGCAGTTGGCATGTATTTTCAGATCATTCACACACACACACACAATCTCCACCTGGAACACGGTTAACCAGTTAACGAATAAAGATGGTGGCTCGCTGGAAACTTACATGTCATCCACATAACAGGGGTAGGGCATCTGTTGTACGTAGACACCAGTTTTCTTCTCAGTGCCAGTCAACACCCTGATGATTGCCTGCTCCACGACATCCTGCAAGTAGGTGAAGCCCCCCCAGACGTACCGCATATCTTCAAAGGGGTCAGCGCGAGGACCAGGGTCCCAGTACCTAAAACCAAACCATAGGTGATTGAATATCCCTTAGAACCTTAGATTAGATAATAAAAATATCCAATGATCCACAACCTCACTATCCTTACCTAGCTACTCTTTTTATTTTTGTATCTTACTTTCTGGTCTCAATTGACATGTATACATAATTTTAATAGAAATTATCATATTGAACATACTTCTTGTTAATTCAGGTTTTTCTCCCCTTCTCCATTGGCTAAATAACATTGCATCAAGTGGACCCAATATTTACTCAAGTATCTCTTTTTTATTGGTTGTATCCCCTTTTTCCTAAAAATGAGTAAGACGAAGCCTAAGACCTTTGAAATAATAGCCTTCATGATGGAAAATGCCACTTTTACCAAAATTATGACCAATGATTTTGGTTGAATTTTCTACCAAATTATTAATCAAAATAAAGTATCTCCAGTCATAAAAGCTGCTCTTGACTTGCCCAAGTCTGGGTTGGTGTCATGGGATTCAACTTACGCATCCTTGATTTTATTTGTCCTCTCCACATTGTCAATGTCCATTCGGATCTTATACTTGACATGCCGGGGCAACTCAATGCTGCCTGGAGTGATTCCCGTGAACACAATACCAGCCCAGAACTTCCTCTCATCCAGCAGCTCCATGGACTTGTTGATGAGCCGGACTTCTGTTGGTATGGGCTCCAGCTTGTTCAGGTTGACACACTGACAGAGAACAGCCATTGTGAGAACACTGCTGGCTAGGAAGGCAAGCAATGGCCAAAATACAGACCACCCTGAAAGGCAAGAACTGCCTGACAGAATTTTTTAACCTTCACTGTCTAATCTTCTCTAAAGTGGTTGTTTAGTCTTCAACCAAGAACAGATCAATTTTAACTGAAATGTAAGAGAAATACTGAAAGTATCTAGACATAAGTTACTTGTATTGATTTTTATAGAAGAAAAGAGATGGAAACAATGATTATATCTTATTTTCTTCTCTGTTTTCTTAGCAATGTTGAGTCATAGCAACTAACCAATTAAATAATCAAACCAAAAAAATCTTTTATTTATCTCTACTAAGTGCCATCATTTTTAGGATTAAATTTTTTTTCTTTTTAATCAGGGGAGAGTGCAAACACAGTCCCCCACTACCACAAATTACGCAAAGGATTAAATTTTTAAATTTTTATATAAATTAGTTTTCACAAATAATGCCTTTTTAAGAGAACTCTTTGTTGTCAACAGGCATTGGGATACTAAAACACATGAAAACTTAGAAGACAATGGATAGAAACACTCAAATCAATACATAATAAAGCTACAGTTGAGTTTATTTGCTCCTGCAACCATCCAACCAACATTTATTGAGTGCCTTTTGCATACCAAAGGCACTACCATAAAGGATACTGCCATAGATGACACTGCACAGTAACTCTAAGATTTCCTTCTACCTCTAACCTTACTGTAATAGCTCAAAGAAAAATCCCTAAGCCTTTCCTAAATGACACACACACAATAGATCCTCACCTCCATAAATCGAGATATTGTCTGGATTGCCTGGTTGGTCTCATTGAAAGCTTCTCTCCAGGTGTACACAGAGCCATTAGTGGACTGGACATCCTCTGGGTACTTGGCCAGAAATGCCATGATGTCTTGGGCTGTCCAATCTAAGCCATCCAATTGCTGTTCCCAAAAGCGGTCATTGCTTCTGCTATTCAGTAGTGTCTGCAATTTGAGTGAGAATGCACAAGCAGTGAATATCTTGATGAGCACTATGTTATGTACCAAACCCTTCATGTACTTTGCTGGTTTTGTGTATTTTCACAGAAATTTGTGTAGTACATTAACAGTGTCCCCATTTTACAAGTCTGAGATTGAAAAAGCATGAATGAGTTTAAGGAAGGGTGGCCCATAATGCTAATGGGTATGGGGCTGAGACTTAAAGTTAGACCAATCTGAAGACACAGACCACATGCTTTCCATCATAGCAAAGAGCTCAGCTTAGCAGTATTAACTCTAACAATGATAACAATTCTATGTTGAGTGATCAACATGCTTTACATCTGACATGACTTCATGAGGTGGGCAGCTTTAATATTCCTCATTTCATACAAAAGAAAACAGGTTCAAACCCAATAACCAATCTGAGGTTAAGTCCCTAATACAAGGATACACAGCTGATAAGTGGCAAAGCCAGAATGTGAAACATAAGCCATTTGATTCTAGTGCACCCAATGCTTTGTATCACTTTCCTCTTTTGAGATCCAGACTGATCTCAAAAGATTTATCCCAAATAAAAACCCTATCACTAGACTGAGCCCTCTTTGAATGCTTAATTTAGAGATATGATGTTGCTGGTTAGACCAGGTAAAAGACAATCTTTTCCAACATTATAATGCAATGGAGGCCTACTTTCCATTTCTTTTTCCCTCACTAGTTAAAGGAAAAGGATAAACCAACTTGGTGCTCAACCAGCAGCTCCAAAGGGGCTGAAGCAGAGGCCTGCATAGATGTGCTGCCAGGAAAACAAGACACTGCAAACTCAGCAAAAAGGAAACACATCTGTAACTCTCCTCACAGTTTCCAAAGGGAAGAGGAAGCCCCAGCTCTACCAAACTGGATATCTAGGATCTAAAATCTGCCTTTTTAAGTCAGTCTTATTTTACTAACATTATAAGTTTCTCCCCCTTTGTGGCTTCATATTTATTATTTTAATGGGAGACTAATGATTTTATAGAGTATATATACCATAATTTCATTAACTATTCCTGTACTGCTGAACATTTAGTCTAGTTCCAATTTCTCACATTAGCAATTATTACAGCAGTAACATTGTCTCTCTGATGGTAACTTATTAAAATTATTTCTGTAGGATACATCCCTGGGGGTATATATAGATTGGAGATATACAGAATAGCACATTTTTATGGTTCTTGAAACTTTCTTTCCAAATTGCTTTCTATTAGGGAATAACAATTTACACCGTCATCAATAAGGCAGGTAAGCATTTTTGTTAACAGATGCAAAATTATACTTCACAGAAGTTCACAGATTCATGGACTAGCATTCCGAAACTACTTTATTTGGATACTTGAACTGAACAAAGAAGAGCAGAAAGAAGAAATGAGGTACTGGGGGTAGGCCCTCCTGTTTAATGTGGCTTCTGAGCAATGTGGCTTCTGAGCAGTGTGACTGAGGACAGAAAGACCCAAGAGATGTGCCCAGTGAGATCACAGTGTTTGGCAGCTCTAGGGGACTTGAGAGAACAAGGAGACCTGAGACCGCACATGGAGTGGTAGGCGGAAGGAAAAGCACAGCCTGGAGATGAGGGGCAGAAAGCTGCTTAGAATAAAAGAGCAAGTTGGTGGCAGGGCTCTCTGGCTGCACAGAGAAGTGTCTGCAGATCTTCAGGGTGATGCAGTAGCATCAGACAGAGCCAGAGGCAGAAGAGATAAGAGCTACCCAGGTGGAAGCAGAAGCCCCAGGTATGGCCTCCTTTACCAGACACCAGGCTACAGGGGTTGCTGAAGTCTGAGCAGCCCACGCTGCTGGAGCTAAACTAACACTCCTTACATCAGAGAAGAAAGCAGTTGGGTGCAGCTCCTCTGACTCCACCCACAGTCTGATGATTCCTATAGTCTGTGTCCCCAACCCAACCTCCTGCACTACAGACCCCAACAGCTATCAGCCTACTGATCATCCCTACCACCAACCCAGCTAGAAATCAAGAATCATCCTGGTGCCCCTCCCTTTTACTCCTCCATCACTAACCCATTGACAGGCAGGCCTTCCCTCCTGTATTATGCCTTTGCCAGAGCCCTCTGCTCTGGTCTCTGCCTTCCACCCATCTTCCCTCTTCAATCCATTCATACCAGAGTAATTCATCTATATTGCTAAGAACCTTGTCCTGTTGCCTTCCATCCCAGCTTAAAGATCCTCAGTTTGACACACAAGGCCCTCCAAGGCAACTCTATGCCTTCCCCACCAGCCCCTGCAACTCCACTATCACACACCCAGCTAGATTCCTAATGAACTCCATGACTATGCTTACAAGGGCCTTGTCCCTTAAGAACTGGGAGTTTATGGGCTATAGGAGACTCCAAGGCAAACTCTCAGTTTAACAGTAGGGAAGCATCTATATACCCCCAAATTAAAACTCACTGAGCCCCTTAAACAGGGATATGTTGTTGTCCTCTGTGACTCAGACAGAGAAAACAAGTCCAATCAGTAGAAATATGCATTCTAAAGATAAGACCAGGAAGAAGAGACCCAAGAGCACACAACCACAGCACTGCCCATGGCAAGATCACATGAATTCCTTATGCAAAGAGACTGTCGCTCAACAGAGAGCCATGTGTAAGGGCATGAGCTATTCCTATTACTTAAAATCAATCCACACACACTCTTGGTCATGCTTTTCTCACTCAAGTTTCCTGTTTTTCAAGGTCCTGACTTAAGAATTTCACACAGGTGTAACAAGACTGGTGCATCCCATGGGGCTCTGGCTTCTAGAGCTTCTTCCTCAGTAACTTGCCCTCCAGGAGACAAGGGAAATTCCCTCTAGAATTCTAGACTCTAAAACCCAATCTCCCTTGGATCAATAAGCTCAAGACAAGAAACCTTGCAAAAATTTGCTCATGCTTCTTACTGGCAACAGAGACAAAAGGAAGTGGTCTCACTCACCATGGCAATAGGAAATAGTCAAAAGATTCTGACTCAGCCCAAGGCAGGGATGATGTGATTAAATGGCTCTCAGACTGAGGCAAAGGAGACATTCTGTTCTCAGACTGCTCTGCTTTTGAATTCAATTGTCTCTAGAGCACTTATGCCTTTCAAGTGGCTTGGAAGCATTAAGTGCAATTCTCTTCCACATAGGGGAATGGCAGTTCTGTACTCACACAGCACCATGGAAACCATATCTCCAACCTCTCTGCATGATAGACCGCACGTTTGCTCCCACATCTCCTTCCCAGACCTCCCAAGACATAGGAAGTCTAAAGAAGATGCTAGGGCTGGCTCGGTGCCTGGAGCCAGAAATGCAAATAGTCAGGGTCCTGCAATCACCAAACTTTACCACTAAATTTTGTACAAAACTGATATTTGGCAATAAGAGGCACTGACACCAAACTACAGAGTAGTATCGCTGCACCATGGCCTCTGTTTCTAGAGAGGTGGCAGCTCTGTGGCTTGAGTTAAGTTCACTACATTTCAACTGCATAAACTTTAAGAAGTCTCATCCTAGTTCTGGGAAAGTGACCAGAAACTCACCTCTATCTATAGAATCAAGCAGGCACAGAGTAACCAGAGGGAAACTCACCCGGACAAGGTCCATTTCTTGGCTGTTCTCCATGAAGGTCCAGATCTTGGGGCTAAGCTCTTCCCACATGCCTTCCAGATCGTGGAAAACAGCCAGTTCCTGGAAGGTCTTATTCACCTGGAGTCAGGTGGAAGGCCAGGGGTCACAAAAAAAAAAAAAAAAAAGGAGAGGAAGAAACCATGAGTAATCTGCTGGAAAGATACACCATCACAACAGGACTTGACTGGTCCTCTCCTGAATCCAAGAAACACCTGCTTACAGCTATGTACCCAGGGCAAAAGAGCTGTCCCTTAACAGTCAGCTCTGGTCTAGATCAGACTTATGGTTTTCACTCCTTAAAAATCCCAGAAAGGCCATAAATATATTTGGCACCTCCCTCTGAAGCTGCCTTTGCATTTCCTCCTAATTCTGGGAGGATTCTGGGGAGAGAATGTTGGGCCTGGGTAGCTTACCTCAGCCATAACCTGCCTTGTAGCTGGAGTGTCAGGTGTATACAGAATCTTTCCAACAAGCAGAGGCTTGAGAGCTTTCCAAATAATTCGAGAAAGTGGACTAGACTCCAAATTCTTCATCAAATCATTGCAATAAGGAGCTACAAAGATGATGGAAGACAAGCACTTATTCAAATACAAGGCCATATGCTGACAGGAAGTTTCGGGGCTTTGAAGCCAGACATACAAGTCGGGTGCAAATCCCAGCTCTACCACTTAACAATCATTAACAAATAACTTTACTTGTCTGAGCCCCAGTTTGCAATGCCATAAAAATGAAGTTCATAACATCTACTTGGCAGAGATGTGGAGAGGATTAACAGAGATGTTTTCTGTAAAGCCTCTAGAATGATGCTTGATACATAATCAGAGCTGCTTTTAATTCACAACTGAACTAATCTAGAAAAATGCTTTTGCTATATACATACCCCCTTAACTCTAGAGTCATGCTGTCATCCCAAGCCCTTAGAACTGTTTTCACTTAAAACAAATAGGAGTTTTGCAGCAAAACCAGGGGGCTGGGTTTAGAGTTTAATTTTTAGTTTTCAAGCAAAAGCCAAAATTTTCCCTTTAATTAATAGATCTCATTACTTACATTTAATAAAAGCCCCAAACTAAAAAGTCCAAAGTTAGAATAGACAAATGGGTTTGATTATCCCTGATTTAAAAAAAATTATTCTTGGTTTTTCAGTTTTGAAGATACTGGCAGAGTGGCTTAAGTAGTAAAGCACCTGCTTAGCAAGTGTGAGATCTTGAGTTCAAACCCCAGTACCACCAAAAAATAAATAAGTAAGATTTCAAGTAGCCTCTAAATGCTGAAAAGATAATAGAAATGAGGGAGGCAGTGTTGCTGCGGCCTTACCCATGCTAAGCAAGCACTCAACCACTGAGCTACAGAGCCCTAGTCTCACAATGTTTTGGGTTTTATTTCTTTTGAAACAAGGTATCACTAAGTAGCTCAGGCTGACTTGTGATCCTCTTGCCTCAGGCCTGAGTACTGAGATTACAGGTATAACCACCACACCCAACTCACTTTTTTTTTTTTAAATAAAAAGGACCTGCTAACAATTACCATTTGACTTGCAGCCTGGGAGACAGAAGGAGAAGGCATTTCATAAAGCTTCCTATATGCCATCCTCGTCAGGCTTGTAAAGCACTTGCAAATGTCTGGAGTGCTCTACTCCAGAGAACACCAGGTCCTTGTTTTACAGTAATGCACAAAAAACTGCCTCACTCAGTGTCTGAAAGACACACCTGTGGTTGAAATGGAGAAAGGCTCAGCTGCATCATGGTTTCAAGGAAAAGGATGTCATTGTCTAAAGCTGTAATACTAATCCCCACAGCTGCCGGGTAGAGGACACATATCCCCACAAAACCGCCCAAGTGTGGCAAGTGGATATGGGGTTACAAGATTCTTTAATACTGCCTTGTGGCTAAGAACCCAAAACAAACAGTAGATCAAATGTCTGACAGTGATGGTGTACACATGCCACCATTAACAGCATGTGGTTTACAGGAAAATGCCAGGAGCCAGGAGGATTTGGGCTTGAATCCAAGCTCTTAGCTGTGATGTAGCATTGACCAAGTCACTTGACCTCTCTGAGCTTATGGAATGTGATGTTACGGAACCTTCCCTAAAGGGTTATTGTGAGGGTGAAATGAAATAACTTAAATAGAAGGTATTATACACTGGAAAGTTTGCCTAAATGTAGATTCTGTTGTAGTGGTTATTACTACCTTTACTGTTATTTGTTTTTAGATGTTATTCTAACGTTTACCTCAACAGTAATAGTAATAACTTTGTTTTCTTTTTAATAATTTTTAAAGACCAGCATCTCATCCTTTTGAAAAATTTTCCAGCTTTACTGAGGTACAATTGACAAATAAAAATGATGTATCTTTAAGTTATACAACCTGATGTTTTGATAGATGCATACATATGAAATGATTAAAACAATCAAACTAATTAGTATACCTATCACCTCACATAGTTGTCTGATATGTGTGTGTGATGAAAATACTTAAGATCACTTCTCTTAGTAAATTTTAAGTATCCAACACAGTGTTATTAACTACAATGTACGGTGTGATTGTAGTTAATTCACCTTGCATAACTAAATTCATCTAACTTATTCATCTTGCATAACTAAAACTTTGTACCCAGGGACCAATATCTTCCATATGCTTCCCTCCCACGCCACTCCCCAGCCCCTGGCAACCTCCACTCCACTCTGCTTTTATGAGCTCAATCTTTTTAGATTCCCACATATGAGTGTGATCGTGTAGGATTTATCTTTCTGCCAATATCTCATCCTTGGGTGATGCAGGCTGAACCCAGAACTAAGGCAGAGCTGGGGACAAGCTCAGGTATACACAGACATCCACTTACTTGTAGAGTTGTCATAGAAGCTGTCAGCATCTTCCTCAGTGCCATTGCCTCCAAAGAGGGCTTTGTAGTTGTTGTCCTCATACCAGTTGAGAGACTTGATCTTCAGCCCCCCACCTTCCGGATGCCCACAGACAATTCGGGACACAGCCTGGTATATCTGTGTGGAGGAGCCAGTGCTGTTTACGTTGGTCAGAAACATCACTTCCTGCCGCATGTCGCTCCAGCTTTTCATGCTGAACAGCTAATGTCAGGGACAGAAAGAAAGAAAATTAGCTTAACCTCTCAAAAGACATGTCCCAGAACACACTGTGTCTGACATCACCTCAAAGCCTTGTGATGGGTTTGCCAGAAACTTCCTACCCTATCTGCAGTCCTGGGTCCTACAGTATCTACATAATTGAAGAAACTGTTTGAAATACAGATTCTGTAACCCTTCTACAGACCAGCAGAATTCAAGCTTGTGTTTTCTCCAGATGCCCAGGTAATCCCATGCCCATTAATGTTGGAGAAGGAGTCAGTGGAAGCCCTGAGGTGGCCTTTTTTTCATCAGGATAATCTTCTGGCAACAGGAAGAGTGTGCTTTCTGTGAACAGCTATGTCTGACTGTGGATGAGCCTTGACCACTGAGTCATTTCTAAAACACTTCAAACTTCGGTATGGACATTGACAAGTCCTGTTCCCCTTGGGAGAAAGGGTGTGAAGAATCAAGTTCGAATCTAAGCTATGTCCACACTGGTTTATAGTTTTATGAAAGTCAAGCACATCTCTGAGGACTCAGAGAAACCACTCTATAACGGAGTGTGTTGAGGAGTGACTGCATAGGATAGCTCCAAACACAATGAGTCAGAAGCCCCAGGCAGCCAGGGACTGTGACATACACTCCGTAAACATCAATGACGTGGAAAATATGTTGCCTCACACACTAATGTACTCTGGCCCTTCGTTGGGTTCTTTGGCCCAACTGCTTTTATTATTACGTACTGATAGAGTATTTCACACTTCCACGTATTTCACAATACATTATTAATAAATTCCTACATTCCTTGAAATGTCACTGCATGTTCCCACCACTTGAGAAGACTGAGCCATGGAGAGCAGAAGGGAGAGGGGCGGGATCATCCATATACCCTGGAGAGCTCCATGTGCTCAGTTTTCTACCTCCCCCAGCCTGATAGCTACTGTGAGTGGCATAGCCTTTGACAATGCAGGTCCTGACCTTTGCCTTCTTCCTTCAAACAGGAACTAGGCCGTCCAGGGTGGGTCAATATCACAAGGATTTCTCCTCCAGAATGGGAGCATCTAGCAATAAATAACTGAGTTCTTCCTTGAAGGGGCGCTGTTTCTTACGCTCCCTCCCTTGCTGCTGGAGCAAAGTTTTCTCTCTCGCTCCTTGGTTATTACTGGACCTAACTGGGCTTAACTGGGGACAACTGGAGATTCAGAAAAGACACAGGATAGACAGACAGACAGAAAGTTGGGTCAGGTGTGTTGGGCATTTGGGTGGAGACACCCAACCCTAATTGCTTCTTTTCTCTATCTTGATTCTTTAAGGCCTTACTCCTTGCAGTTCTTTAAAATCTTGCTTAGGCCCACACTGTCCCATGTTTGCTCTTAGCTTATCTTTAGCTTAAGATAGCTTTAAGACTCTTAAAGTCTTTTGCCCCTAGGCTTGCACTGTCCCATCTCTCTTTAGCTCTCTCAAAGCCTCAGTGCAAACTTGTAAACCAGCAGCCGCGCCTAAAAACTGCATATGCATAACTCTTAAGATCTTGGTCCTTAGACTTGCACTGTGCACTCTCCCATGTTCTCTTTGGCTTTTCTTTAGCTTTAGCTTTCCTAAGGCCTCTGTATGAAGTTCTTTCTCAGCTTTGCTTTCTGACACATATACTAAAGTTCTCAGTGCAGACTTTCTATCAACCCCTCTTTAGCATTTTCCCTTCAACAATTCTTTTCCCTTCAGAAATTTTTCCCTTCCAAAAGCTTCCCACACCAGAAGGCCCAAAGTAAAAGCTTCTTCCCAATATTCAAAGGCAAAAAGCCCCCCAAAGCAAAAAGTCAAAAGCCAAGCAAAAAAGCACAAAATAAAGCCCCTCTTTCTCCTTCAGGGGTCTTTTATAGCAGTAAACAGGGTGGAGCCCCACAGAGGGACATGACACTTCAATAGGAGAAACCTGCTTTCCTGCTTCTCTGAACCAACAGGAGATGCTGCTGTTCTGCCTTTCCCTGTTTCGTGGCCGGGGGCTGTGCCTATCTCAGCCTACAGGTAAAAGCAATTAACTGCATCTGCCTTGCTTGTGTCCAGTTCTCATAGGCTTTAATCCGCTCCCCACACTTCCTCGCACCTGCCTTAGGAGAAAACTCCTATTCATTCTCCTGCACCTCAGCTCACACTCCACATGTGCTCCGTGAAGTGTCCCATGACTCAGAAGGAGGGGTGGCCACTTGTCCTCCTGCCCAAGAATAGTGGAAGTGTTTGATAATCACCTGTTGAGTGAATGAATAGACCACTAACTTGCTTTCTCAGTTCATTGCCATGGTCTTCGACCACACCACCACGAGCCCCCACACACACCAGTCTCTTCTCAGTCTGGCAGCCAGAGTGCAGACAGTCTGTAATCTCTAGGTTACATCATGTCCCTTGGGTCCTAAGCCTCCACCAGCTTCCCATCTTACTCGATGAAAACCCAGCCTTGACAGACCCTGGATGGTGCTCACTGCCTTCTCTCATCTCATCCCTGGCCACCCTCTGACGCACTCACTTTTTTCTTGCCCCTCTGACTCCCTTTCTGGTTTATAAACACATCTGTGGCATTAATGTCTTTGTATCTGCTGTTCTTCCTGCTTGGAGTGCCCTTCCTTCTCTATGGACATACAATCATTTTCTTTGGGTTCATCAACTCCTTATCAGAGAGGACTTAACTCACCACCTCCTTTAAAATGGCATCTCATGACTCTCTACCCTCTTAACCTGCTTTAGTTTCCTAATTGCACCTATCCCTGCTGTTGTATTGAGCTCTGAACTATTTATTTCTGTCTCCCATCCCACGTTAAGCTCCATGAGAACAAAGAAGTTACTATGTTCGCAGCTGAGTCCCAATATGTAGCAATGCCAGCACCTGGTCTGTGGCTGCGTGGATACCTGAGACTCCGCCTCCCTGTCCTATTTTCCCAATCTTATCCAGCACACCTTTCCCGTCCCACAGATATGACACTCATTCAGCTCTGAATCAGCCCACTCCTAAAGTCTCCATTTCTACCTAATTACCAAGTCTGGTAATGCATTTCTTATTTCTTTGAGGGTCTCCTTTCTTATTCCAGTCACCACTGGAATCTATGATGAATTCTTGGAAGGAACAAACAAGAATATGGGTTTCAGAGTCCAACACCCTGAGTTCCAGTTCCACTTTTGTCCCTTAACTCACTGGGTGACTATGGGCAAGTTGCCTAACATTTCTGACCCTCAGTTCTATCTGTAAAATGGGCACAATAAGTTTTGCCTTTCACACGTCATGTGGATTATCTAGGGACTCATAAATGCTGGCTCTCTCTATTTTCCTTTGGACAGTTGTGCCGACCAAACTGACAACTGCATTTATTTATCTTCTGCCATTTGTCTCACAAAAGCAGCAAGTGAGACAATGAGTAACTTGTGATCAAAGTGATCTGAAGGTGTTCTATTGAGAGAAGAACACCTGGATCAGGAGCAAGCAAGGTAGAAGAAGAAGCTGCCAAGAAAAATGTATGCTGTTCAGTTGGAGAGTTTCAACAACACCAACATGGGAACATCACCTGCTTCAATTATTTATTTACCCCAGACAGAAAGTAGGGCCAGTGACATAAGAGAAAACAGCTGTAACCATCCCTGAGTTTAGAGGCAGCCTCCCCTTTCTACTCTGCTTTGTTTTCTCCAAGGCCAGAAATGAATGAGGGAGAGGAGGACTGAGAGGGAACCTTGTAAAGCACTGCAGGGCACATCACTGTCATCTCATAGAGCCCTGGAGAAGTAGCCATGGACTTACAGAGCAGTTTCTCTTTCTTTTTCTGTCTTCTGGAAGAACCCCAGTTGGCCCAGCTTCTCCACCTAGCCAAAGGTCACCAGCCTCATATCCAGAGTAACAAATAACAGGCTGGAAGAGGGCAACTCCTAAAAGGGGATTCAAAAGTCAAGCCTCGTCTGTCAGGGACACATGAGTAGAATTAAAATATAGAAAGAAATATAGGAAAGTGTCGACAGTGCTTAATCCTGGAGTTTTCTGTATTTTCCAAAGTCCTGCATTTCCATAATGAACATGCAATACTTTTACATTTAGAAAACATAAAGTAAATTTTGATATTTGAAAACATGATACAAGCATTGAAAAAATGAGTTAGAGAATCAATTAATAGAAAGACTGAAGGCCACGTGTGGTGGCTCATGCCTGTAATTACAGCTACTTTGGAGGTGGAGATAGAAGGATCACAGTTCAAAGCCAATCTGGGCAAAAAGTCAGTGAGATCCTATCCCAAAGAACAAGCCAAGCATAGTGGTGAATGCATGTAATTCCAGCTATGAGAGAAAGCATTGATAAGAAGATCACAGTCTGAGACCAGGCTCAGGAAAAAGCAAGACCCTACCTAAAAATAACTAAAATAACTAAAGCAAAAAAGGGCTGGGTGGGGAATGACTCAAGTGGTAGAGCACCTGCCTTAAAAAAAAAGACTGGACCACCAAGTCTGAGAGAATTTCCCCACAAATTATTTTTCAATGTCATATACACTGTCACCTGCATTGTTTGTGACTGCTGCCCAACAACTTATGTGTAAGGCCTCCAGATGGTTGCTCCTTTGCAAGTCTGAGTTGAAGTGAGCCTGGGAGTCAAGAGAAAGGTTAACTGCTTTTGCAAACACCTCCAGGCCCTCTAAGATCACTCCAACACATTTGTCAACATGTGCCAAGTCAACTGAACACTCTTCAGGAGAACATAGTCCCAAAGTTGAGCCTCAGAGGCCAGATTTTACCAGGGAAAGAGCTGGATTAGGAGAAGTGTTTTATCCCTATTAGTAAGATGGCTGAATGGTCTTGCTACTGAAGAAACTACATGGAGAAGTTGTTGGTCAGACAAAAGTGGTGCATGAAGGGGTGAAAGAGAGACTTCTCTTCTTTACAAATGTGTCATTACCTAAGAACAGAGAAAATCCATGAGAGAATGGTCTAAACTAGATATGGGGCTGTATGCCACTAACTAGCTCTGAGACATGCATGAGTCTCCATTTCCTCATCTCTGAAGTAAGGAGATCAAAACAGATCATCTTTAGGTCAGTTATGCTCCCAAAATTAGTACTACATCTCATATGACATTCAAATTAAAAGGACCCATTTAGCCAAACTCAGAAACAAAAACAGTGATAGTGGATGCTCCATGCACTGGTGTTGGAAAGACATGACTTACCTCTTGGGCCAGACTCCCAAGACTATCCAGCAAGGTTCTTGTGGCTTCCGCCAGCTGCTTGGTCGGGAAGGGAGATGATGTAGAGTTTAGTTTTGTCTGAAATGAGAAAAGAAATACTTTATTTCTGAGCTCAACTACAAAATCTCTACTGAAAATGAATAGGTTAATTAAAACCGTTCCCAATCTTGAGATTAAAAAAATTAAGAAACTGGTTCCTAACCAAAAAATAGGACAGTGTGATTACTCTAACTGCATGTATGTATCTTTATTTTTTTTTCTTCAGATAAGAATTTCTAACTCTTTGATGAAGTGTTGTAAATGTTGTGGGAATATATTTAAAGTTAATGAATATGCAGTAGATAAAAATATCTCATGTGGTATACATGTGTGTGTCCATGTGTGTATATGTGTGTGTATGTATGTATGTGTGTGTCCATCCACTACAACTCTGACCTGAAAATTCCAACTCTTTCTACAATTTTGGAAGGCACATATTGTGGGAATGGTCTTGAGAAAAAGTTTTCTATGGCTCATAAAAAGGAGGAAAATGGAAAGTCTGAAGATAGCAAAAGCAGAGAAGGAATTCTCTGTTTAAGTCAGCAGTGTTTCTAACAGTGGAAACTTAATTTAGAACACTATTTTATATCCAAACTTCAAGCAAATCTTTGTATTTTCTAATTCATGTATTTAATTATTACTATATATCATCTAATTAATATAAGAAAATAAGGTCCAGGGGAAAATAAATTATGGTAGAAGAGATAACTCAAAGACAGAATGAAACGCAAGGTTCTGAAGCCAGAATTGTCATTGCAGAGGAGCCTCGAATTTAGTTCTGAGTTACAGGAAGTACTAGGGGTGAGAGGAGAAGATTCCAAGAAAAATACATCTTTTCTTGGTGTTTCTATGGACTTTGTTTTATTCAGTATCATTTCAGAGATTGCTGTAAAATTGTAACATTGACTACACAGGATATGGCTGAGGTGAATATGACTGTCTCTAAGAAGTAGCAGCCTGGAATATGCTCTTTTAAGAAGAACTCCAAATGCAGAAGATTAAGTTACTATCATCATAACCACCACAGTATTCAAGCAGAGTCCTGGATGTACATTCTGAAAAATAAGGTTCTATGAAAGAATCTGTCCAGCATGATTCATGGGATTTTCTGGAACGTCTTATTCATGAGAGTCCAGCAATCCACACTTACAATCCCCTGCAGGGACCCATGGTCTCCCATAAATGCTGCACTCAGGTAAGTCTCTATGGTACAACTCATGGATCATGTCAATGACTGTTCCTCCCAGACAGCAAAACCAGTGGGTTATTTTGGTTTTACTTGTTCTCTCCTGGCACACTTTGTAACTGAAAAGTACTGCTAGAAGCTGAACCTACCAATTTCCTGCAGTAAGAGAAGCTCTGACAAATTGAGAGGCCTTAATCATTAGCTACAGGATGTTAAGATGTTTTGGTGTTTCCCATAAAGTACACAAAGATGATCAATCTTCAGGATTATAAAGCAAAAACAAAACAAACCAGGAAAAAACAAAAAAATACCAAATTCACTTAATGTATAATTTTAAAACTTAAAATGTACATGATTTATTTCTTTTATAAAGTCTGAACAGAAATAAAATTCTTTTAAGTCTGTATCACTTACTCACCCTCTCTCCCCTTCTCTGGTCATGGAGAACTGGGATGGTTAAAGAACCCTGGGTAAGTGGCTCAAATTCCCTGAGACTCCATGTCCTCAACTCCACAGCACAGGTGCACCTATCACAGCATTCTCATGAATACTGAATTGGAGGACCTTGCATAGGGCCTGGCACATAGCTATTCCTCACAATCCTAAACAAGTTCGTCCCCTGTCTTTTTGCTTTCCTTTCTGAAAAGTTTACTGCCAAAACTGAAGGGCTCCTATATATGGACAGTTTTTCAGTTCTTAAGAAGACAAATATCCTGTTCTGTTTCTTGGCTGCCTCTTGAACTTTTTCCCCTGTTTAGATGTCCATCCTCTACCAAAGAGCTACGGTTATCAACTCACAGAACAACGGCCACACTCCAACATGCTAATTTTAAAATTATAAATACTTCTCACCACAAAGTTAAGATAGACTCATTCTAATTCCCACAGGCTTGGTATAAAGTGCCTTTCTCTGCCCTTATTGCCCTTTTCTTTCACTCAGTATTTGCTGAACTATGAAGCAAGATAATGCTAAGTGATTGAAGTAAGAGCCATTTTATCCACTTAACATTATCTTATGTGTGTTAACATAAATAGATACACATAGATATACATATACCTCACCTTAACCAAGGCTGATATTTAAATCAATAAACCTCAAGGAAAACTCATTAACTTTTACCTATATCCACACACCCATCTTTATTTCCGTGTATGGTCATGTTATACCCCTGACACATAGACCATCTCTTTCAAGTGTTCTATGGTTCAGTGCAGAGTTCCTTCATTTCCTGTCTGGTCCACACACTACCATGTGCTTCAGACTGAGAAGCAGTGAAGAGAGGCTCATCAGTCCACCAGGTCCTGAGTAGAAACCAAGATGGAACCAACCACTTGTGAGGCTGGATGTGTCACACTAATTGGGTATAAAAGTCAACAGATGCAAAAGACGTTTCTAAAAATCCCAAACCCAACACTGACCCACTGTCATCATTATCAGCCATGTGACCCCTGAAGGGTAAAAATCAATGAGTAATTCGTGTCATTCTTAGACTGTGGCTTCTCCATTTGAATTAATTTATGTCATTATAGGTAATGATTTTCCCTTCCTTTTGGTTTTTAACTTAAATGTCTTAGTTTTGGGGCAAGCTCATTTTTCTTGTTTTATAAATTCTATAATTTGGCAAAACTCCATTTGGCAGGGCCTAGAACCAGAGTACAACTGATTGGCTCTAGTACAAACACAAGGACCTCATTAAATCAGCCATGGGCATCAGACCTTTATGTCTTATGATAAGACTTTGTTGTCAATAGCCTGTCTGTTCTTTGGTCTGTTGGCCTGTTTAACTGACTGGTTTTGGTCTCAACAGAAGCATTAGCTAAACCTATGGGTAAGTAATGATGTAGAGGAGTCAATGCCTTTATGTGGATCCTTTTTACCTTAGTTGCTTATTTAAGAATAAATACTCAACATTCTTTAACAGTATTGGCACCATACAGTCAATGCAAACAAATTTCCATGTTGAAAGAAGTGTTGGTTTGGAGTTAGATATACATGAACAGATTGACATTACACATACACACATACAATTTCAAATTCAGCTTTCATCAAATTTCAAACTTGAGCTATTATCCAGATGTTTTTGCTCAATACCTCCTTTTACTTTTCTCTGCTTGGAAATAAAACACCGAGAGGACACTGGTGCAAATCAGCAAAGTGAATGTTACAAACTGATGGGTATGGGATATTTAATTGTTACTGAATATCTTATTAAATACTTTTTTAATATTTACTTATTTAATAAGATATTCAATAGCAATTGCTGGGACAACGGGCTGTTCATATAATTAATGAATTAACATATTTTTCATTTCACACCATAATTCATAAATAAATCTTTGGTAGACTGAAGAACTAAAAGCTAAAACCAAAAGTCTAAAGAAGAAATATGATAAAATATACTTATAAACTTGGAGAAGAGAAGAATTTCTTAAACAAAACATTAAGTAAAGCCTCAAACCAAAAAGAAAAAAAAATGAATTTTAAATGTAAAAACTGTGCCTAAAATCCATAAACAACTTGGAAAAACAAAGCAAAAACTAGAAGAATTAAATTTTAAAATTTTAGTATAAATGGAATATTCTACAGCAGACCAAGATACCACATGCACCAACAATGATAAATCTCTAAAACAATGTTAAGCCAGGCACCAGATGCTCACACCTATATCCTAGCCACTTGTGAGGCAAAGATCAGGAGGATCATGGTTCAAGGCCAGCCTGGGCAAAAAGCAAGACCCTATCTCAAAGTACCCAACATAAAAAAAGGCTGGCAGAGTGGCTCAATTGGTAGAATGCTTGCTTCTGAGTTTGTCAAACCCCAGTACTGCAAAGAAAAAAAATATATTGAATGAAAAAGACAAATGAAGATCACACACGTTTATTATTGTCAGAACATAAATACATATGGTATAAAGTATGAAAACATGCAACTCCAGGAGAGGAATTATCTCTGCAGAAAAAGATAGTGATACCCAGGGTGGCAGCAGCTGAATCTATGTTTTATTTCTTCAACAGAATTGTGAGCAAGTGTGAGAAAATGATGGATGGAGTCCATCATGCATGTTCTAAGTTTTTCTCTGTATACCTTTTTGTATTTTTGAAATATTTCCTAATTTTCTTTCTAATTCAATGAAAGGTAAGAGAAGGAGGATGGTTGAGTAAGAATGAAGCAGGGTATAAAATATATGTTGGCTAGAATGCATATCAGATCTAAAAGAATTCTAACTTCGTTGAATAAAATTAAACCCCAGAGAATAATTCATGCGTTAAAACTAGACTATAAAATGCTGAGAATCATGTACCTACTATTTATTCATTATGGTCTCCTGCTCACACTTTCCTGACAAAGGCCAACAAAGCTTGCCAAATCATACTTCCAAAGTGCCCCAGTCAACTAATTCATAGCTTGGAATTCCTACTATTATTTTTTCTAACTAAAAACATCCTTTTTGTCTATGAACATATATAGTTCCTCACTATACATATGAGGAAAATGATTTTTTTATATGGAATAAAGAAAGGGGGACAGGAAAAATAAATTCTCTAGCTAGGAACTGTACTTTGCATGTTAGGCTAACAGGAATTCATCTATTATTCAATATATTTAGATGAGAACTAAATACCGTAATGTCATCAAAGGAAGAATACAAAAATGCTTACTGTATTACTCAAAAACTTCTACTTCTGCAAAATGTGTTAATCACAAGAGAGCAACATTTCCTAAATGCATGACAGTGGTCCAGAATGACAAAGACGATTGTGTCCTATCCTTGCTGGGTCTAACAGGTGACTTCATTATATTCTTTCTATCCTCACTAACTTAATAGTTAAGTTGTGAAAGACAGGAAAATAC